TCTATCTGTCTGTCTGTCTGTCTGTCTGTCTGTCTGTCTGTCTGTCTGTCTGTCTGTCTGTCTGTCTGTCTGTCTGTCTGTCTGTCTGCCTGCCTGTCTGTCTGTCTATCAAATAAAATAAAATAAAATAAAATCTGTGCAATAGTCGATAATGGTAATTTTTGTTGTAGTTTTAAAACAATTTACTTCTTCCAGGTGACTACAGAAACTCCGTTAGGGTCTAGAAAATCTGGGGAGGCCAAGTTTGAAAAGTTACAGCTTGAGTCCAAGATTCAGGAACTGACAGAAGAGAGAGATCAACTGCAGGTGAGGAATGAGAGTGGTGTCAGTGGTCTAGTTATTTGGCTGTAAGGCTTGTAACTGAAAAGTTACGGGCTCAAATCCCATCAGAGGCCCAGTATTGTGTCCTCAGAAAAGGCACTTTACACGAATGTTCTTCATTTCTTCCTGGTGGGAATGGGTGCCTGACTATAGATGGGGAAAGATCATGTCAGTTGTTAGTGTTCAACTGCTTAATTCAACTTGTGATAAATTCCTGCTTGTGATAGAATGATGCATCTGATGTGATGTGTACATTATTGTTAGCTTTACTTTTCTTTTCTTGTTGAATTTTATTGAGAGTAATGTGTACTTTAATTGCTATGTATACCTGCCTGTGTTTTCACAGTCCAATACGGCCAAGAAAAATGTCCGTCTGGAAAATAAAGAATTATCTATCTACTTCCCAGTAAGCAGAAAATGTATGTGCTGGGGTAATAATAGTTGTGAAGTGTATAGTGCATGCTGATGACCTTGGATATACACTATATAAGTGCAGTTATTGTAATTATTATTATTATTACATTGGTGTCTGCTTATCTTTCAGAGAAAACTGAACGTGAGAGGTGGAAAAGAGGACAACAACAGCTCTGAGGCCACAGCTGAGTTAGCTCAACTCAAACAGGAGCTGGAGGAGACCAGAAGAGAACTGGAGATAAGAAAAGGAGCCAGTGAGGTAAAGAACAACCCCCAGATAACTATCACCAGCTTTCCTACCAAGAACGAATGATTATGTTCAGACAGAAAAGCACAACACGTAAAACTCAAACAACACATGAAACATATTTAGACCTACATGTTTGCCGACAATCGTCTGAAATCCGACAATCGCGACCCCGACCCGCGAGCCGGCCGATGCTATCGCTAGGCCGACCTGTATTAGTCAATGTTCGTAGTGCGAGGCCTGGCCGACTGCCACCGCCACCGCCACCTTTTTCTCCCATCGGCTTTGTCGGCACATTCGTTTTCGTGCCGACCGCCGACTGCCGACGTCGGCGTTTCCGTCATAATTGTCGGAACCTGAGTAGAAATACGAGAATACGAAAAAGTACGACGACTTAAATTATCTACTTTCAGTTTCTTGCTCGAGCGGCCATTTTGAATTTCGTTTGTTTACTGATTGTTCAGATCAATGTGGATTCTTTCAAGTCCGACTCACTTGTTCTACTCTAGATCTAGATTTATAGATCATTATAGCAATGTAGGCCATATTATTTTTATTACTATAAAAATGCTCCTTGTTTGTTTTGGAGTGTGCTTATATTTCTTTCCTTTTTTTTTTTTGGACTTGTGGTGGCCTTTTTACATGAGGGCCGTTGCAGGTTCTTTTTTGGGTTAGGCCTAGGGATAGGCCGATAGGGTTTGGGTTAGGGTTAGGTCTCTTCTTTATTGTGTTTGTTCGGGTGGTCGCTCGTTACTCGGAAATCCTTCCTTTTATGACACCCACAATTTAAAAGCTCTAAAGTTATGGGGGGGGGGGGGGGGCAAAGGGGGTTGCACAAAATTTTCAGACAATCTGGTTGAGGCTCACATGCAGGTCTACATATTTTAAACTGGAACATTTGCCAAAATGTCTGTAAGGAGAAGCTGACAAAATTGTGGAACATATCCTCCAGCAGTGCAAGACACACAGAGCCCTTAACATGAAGCAACACTATAAAAGCTTTAGGAAGAGCTGTACGGGTCAACAGAGATCCAAGCAGGACGGCTCAGAACAGTATATTAGAGATAGCCCGCTACTTTAGAATTAAAAGTTCCGTCTTGACATTTTTGGCAGTTTTAAGTAATTAAGACTATAAGATCAGAAACCAATCGTAAGATTATTCGGAGTCATTAACAAGATATTCAAAGAACTGCATTTGAAAAAGCTTGACATGTGGTAAAACTCAAAAGTTTTTTACGTTAAATTTCTCAAAACTTGGTACTGAGCGGATAGAACTTTGTAATTCTAAGGTAGCAACCTGTCTTCAAGTGTGATGGGAACGAGATGAAAAAGAAGAACCCCCCACTCCACCCGCGCGCACACACACACACACACACACACACACGTGCACGCAAATATGCTGGCTTTCCGGTTGCTAGATACAGAATTGTTCCCTTTTACTTTTAAAAAAAAACATTACGATCCCATTGTCGTCATTTTTTGGGGATGAGATTTACAAAGCTTGCCAGACCTCTTGTTGAAAAAAAAAACCCTTAGGAAATGTAGAGGTAAGTTTGAGTAAATTTTAGTCAAACTATAATAGTCATGTTTTCCATTTTTGTCGTTTCTCTTATGTGCCGAGTAGTTCCCTGGTGGTGACATTCCTGCTTATCTAAAACACGAACTCAACGAGTCCAATCTGGCTCTAAGCGAGGCCAGGTCACTGCTAGCAGCAAACAAACGGCAAGAAATCGAGCTTCGTGACAGAATCGACAAACTCCAGAGAATCATCGACAACAAGGCTGTGGAGAATGGCAAATATTTGCAGGTGGGAGTCCTCTCTGTTGACTAGATTTTTTTGAAGCTTTTTGTTCTGATTACTGCTCAAGAGTACAATTACACTGTCCTTAACGGCCACCTGTCCAAGACAATCAACCGCACAAATGACCATTTCCCTCTTCCCGCTTGTTTAGCTTTGTTTTTTCAGATATAATGACACTGTCCAAGTTGTCCACCTGTCTAAGACAATCACTTTTCTCCTCAACATTGGGTGACTATCTTGGAAAATTTTGGCCCTAACTTCTTTTCAGGCAGACTTTCACTTGTTCTCGCTGCTCCCTGTCAAATTTACTGCTTTGTGCAATTAAAAAAGAAAATTGTCTGATAGTGTGTTTATTTTGTCTCATTCGTGTTAGAAAGTTTACATCAAAGTTATTTTGTTTTTTTCTGAGAACTTGAAACATGAGTTAGTATTCAAACTTATTGTAAAACGGAGTACAATTCTGAAATTTGAACCAAACATCCTTTAAAAAGGTAACAAATTCTGTCTGTAATTACATTCATATCTAGAACAATATGTAGTTCTCCTTGTTAAATGTTCTATTGTTGTTACAGAATTCCCAAGATGCTATGTCCGAGCTGAAGAATTTGAGATCCCAACATGACACCTTACAACGACAATACAAGGTATGTGTGATATTACTTTCCTAGACCTGTGCACCCGCTTGGGATGCAGGCAGCAGACATGAGCTCTTCACACATCTAGATCCTGGGCCAGTTTCTACAGGTGTCCCTTGTGTACCCCAGCTTTTTTGTATCCTCTTGGATCTCTCAACACAATGTGTTTTTCCTTCTACATCTTTTCAATTCTCTTGTGGATTTCAGTTAAAGGCTTGCCTTATGATGCTATGTGTTGGCTTTCAGAGTGTAGAGGGTTACTTCTTCCATAGGTCGCTGTTGTATTTATTGCAAAGTTCTTGATTGCTGATAGTGTCTGGCCAGCACATTCATAGAATCCTTTGGGTGTGATATAATTAATACTAAATCTGTGACAGTGGATCACCTTCCATTTGGTGGAAAAAAGTAAGTAACTGGTTGTCAGAAGCTCCGATGTGTTTAACTCCCAACGTCTATCGGAATTATCTTTCCTACTTCTTTTCTTTGCATGTTAGTCTCTAGTAACACCTCTAATCTCCGACATTGACATGACCTATTCGTGTTGCAAGTGGCGTAAAACTCTTACTAAAATTTAAGTTTGAAAAAACTAGCCTGCAATGGCCATATGGCCCTTCATCCACTCATCACTTCGCAAAGTCCTTTCAGAAATGGACATTCAAATAGAAAGTTTTGTCTCTTTAGTGAAATGTGCTCTGTTGAAAGGGACAGTAAAGAGATACATACTAAGTATAGTTGGAGGGCGCCACTGGTAGGTCATACTTCTGCTCTTCCCTTCTGTTGTTCCTTTTTGTCTATTTTGCTTTTTTCCCAGCAATAAGTGGCCACTATTGTGTGGATGTGCTTCTCTTTACTCAAACAAATCCAAACTGTACCCATGACCAGCTGTTTGTACTCTGTACTCTGGACTGGTTCGTATCTGTGGGTAGTTGGCAGGGGCTCTGGTGTGGTTTGCTCATTCTTTCCTATCAAACACCTATCATCCTTATCTCTCCTCCTTCATTTCTTTGTACATTACTCTCTAGAAACACCCCTAATCTTTGGCACTTCTATGACCTATTTGTATTGCAAGTGTTGTAAAACTCATACTAGAACTAACCTAAACTGGGCTGTATCTGCAGGTGTTGGAGGACAAACATGCTAGTCTGCAGAGGGAGAAGGGATCCGACTCCAGCGAGACCGTGAGACTGATGGAAGATATGAACAGCAAACAACAACAGCTGGAGGTGGAGATGAGGGTGAGAGCTGGCTTCAAGGCCGCAACTTTTCATGTTTTCACAGGAGATTTCTCATGTGAAATGCAGTTCTTGGCGCAGATCAGTAGAAAATGTACTTCTTACTAATTTTTGCGGGTGTCTCGATGCTCGTTTTCTCACACGAGTTGTTGATGGGTGCTCTTTTGTGGTTTTCTCCTTCTTTTCTACCAAACTTCTATCATCCTTATCTCTCCTCCTTTTTATCATTTGTTTCTTTCTCTCTATGAATACCTCTCATCTTTGGCATTTATGATTTATATACTAACCTATCTGCATTGCAAAACTCTTACTAAAACGTTAAAAATTCAAATCAATTTGTCACATTCACCAGAAAGTGGAGAAACTAACGCGTGTCTGTAAAGAGCTGGAGGAGCAGGTGCAGGACATGGAGGCGGGCATCGCTGAAGCACAGCAACGGCAAGCAGACTGGGACAATATCAAGTAAGTCTGGGTGTATGAGAATGTGGGTGGGTGTAAGTTTGTGGGCAGGTGCTTGTGAGTGGGTAGTTGTTGGGTTGTGTGGGTGTGAGTGGATAGCGAGGTGTGTGTATGTGTGTGTGTGTGCATGTGCATGAGCTTGCATGCGAGTAGTGTGGATGGGTGTGAGTGTGAGTGTATGTGTGGGTGAGTGGGTGAGTGGGTATGGGGTGGGGGGGCTGCTGCTGACTTGAGTATGGTGGTCTGTTTGGTCTTCCTCTATTCAGTGTTGCTATGGTCATGAAATGTGGTCACAATCATATTTACTTATTGTAAGCAGCATCAGCTCTCCATTACTTGATACAATTTTTTTTCTACACAACTGAGAAGGAAGTTTGTCTCTCTAAATGTAAAGAGAATAAATACAAAAAGGGGGCTCTCGTGGCCTAAAGGTTAAGGTATTTGCCTCTCATTCAATAGGTCCCAGGTTCGAATCCGGATAGCGACGGAAATTTTTCTTTCCTAAAATTGTCTCCTACACCTAGCCTTCTCGGACAAGGGCGAAAAATCTCGGAGGTCATGTGTGCAAGTTGTTTTGGGTAAAGATCCCTTATGGGTTAAAGAATCAATAAGAGTAGGCTTCGGCCGCCACCCGGGCAAAATTCAAAATTTTCTTCCAACTGAAAAGGTTTAATGTGTCCCGCACGCTCATATGACCTTATGCAGTTGTGAGCTCAGTAAAACACTTACCCCCCCCCCCCCCCCAACTTATTTCTTTTTCTTCTAGATCGCATCACGCTGAAGATCGGTATCTATTTTAAACTGGGCTGTCTTTCTAACTTCCTCTGTTGTGCCGTACAGCTTCTGCAGTGTTGATTGGGTTGGCCACATTTCATGTCTAGGGCTCTGTGTGTCCTGCACTGCTAAAGGATGAAGAAGTGATGGGAGAATGTGCTTTAGAATGAACATGTCTCTCTATTATTTGAAAGGATGTTTATCATAACACATCTTCAGTAGTCTAGCAATATGTTTGCTGGACTCGCAACTGCAAAGTTCTATTCTCAGTCTAGACTGATGTTGTGTCTTTAGGCTGGTAAAAGTATATTACATTGATTTCCTCACCTCATGCAGGTGAGAATGGATACCTGTCTTAAGACTTAAAATAAGATTTTGTTTGCATTCACACTTGTAGGATAGCAGTGTGCATTGAGTCCTTCTCAGAAATATCGTAAGGTTTTGCCAAGGTGATGATAAGTTATGAAGCTCACAGAAGGAAATGAGCTATATACCTATCATCTGTTAAATTGATAATAATTATTATCATTATTATTATTATTGATATTGTTATTATAACAACTGTTCCTCACATATTGATTACCTTTTATCCCTATTCTTTTCTTTGTGTAAGTTTTGTAAAAATGTATTGTTTGTCATTTTCTTTTCAGAAAGTCCTATGAAGCTGCCATGGACAGGTTAGTTCATTTACAATGATTTTTCTGAAAGTTTTGTATAAGAGTATATTCTCTTTCAGAAAGAGCACATACAGTCTGATCGTGTTGCCAGTTTTTAATCAATTACAGTTTACTGGACAATTAGGTGGGGTTTTTTAAAGATGATTTTTGAGAAAGAATTGTGAGAAAAAAGTGGTATCATAAACTTTTCGTCCTTGTCCGAGAAGGCCAGGTGCAGATCTTTCCTACAGGGGCTTTTGTGGCCTAGAGGTTAAGATGTTGGCCTCTCATTCAAAGGTCCCGGGTTCGAATCCGGGTAGCGACCGAAAAATTTTCGTCTCTAAAATTGTTTCCTTCACCTCCTTTCCTGCTCTCTAGCAATGTTCTGTTGTCTGCTTTCATTTCCACTTTCTGCCCCCACCCCCTCACCTCCTTTGCCCCCTCCTCTGGGCTCCTGACTCTTTCTGCAGCCTTTCTACTGCTACTCCTTGGCTCCTCCTTACTGCTGTCTTTCTGCCACACCCCTGATCATCTGGTAGGAAAGATCTACACCTAGCCTTCTCGGACAAGGGCGAAAAATCTCGGAGGGCCCGTGTGCAAGTTGTGCACGTTAAAGATCCCTTGGTGGTCTAAAATCGATAAGAGTAGGCTTCGGCTGCCACCCGAGCAAAATTCAAAATTTCCTACCAACTGAAAATATTAGGAGTGTCCCGCACGCTCATAATGACCTTATGCAGTTGCGAGCGCCGCAAAAACACTTACCAAAAAAAAAAAAAAAAAGAAGATCTTTCCTACCATAAGATAAGGGGTGTTCTTTTCAAATTCTTCTAAAGGATGCCTAGTATTCCTTTTCAGTTTACTCGGGACTGTTGTCATTTTATCACTTGTCAGTTATATCAAGGGGAAAGATGAGGAAATGAAGTGAAAGGTAAAAGGGCATAACTCACAATATTTCGGAATCTGACAGTTCATTTAATTCACCGGAGTCCTCAAATATGTGTTTGTGTGTAGGTGTTCCTGCGGGTGTTTCAGGGTTTTCAAGCAGTCTCATGTACGAATATGTACATGAACACCATCAGAATTTTTGCCCTGATATAAGATCTCTTGAAATATCAGCACATCTTTCTGTATTGAAACATTGTGACATAGTTTATTCTCTTGAAGTCTCTATTGTCTGAAAAAAAATGGGTAAGAAATAAACATGCTGGTACTAACTCCTTACTTCTTTTCCACATCTCAGATCTCAAGCTTCCAATGTCCAGGTGAGCTCCATGCAGCAGCAGTTCGAGTCCCAGAAGGCTTTCCACCAGGCAGAGCTGGAGAAGCTGCAACACAGTCTGAGAGAGGAGAGAGCACATGTGAAGAAGCTCACTGACAAGGTCTGGTAGATATCTATTTACCCCCCCCCCCCCCCACTTGCATGGACTCATGAAGATATTTTTGGAGTCCAGAAGATTAGATGCTTTGCTCTGAAGCACAAATATAGGAGATCACGTTTAGTATCTAATGTGTCATCTTTTCTTCTTATGTTCTTTTGACTTGATCAAATGCTTTGAAAGAAGTCTTTTTGAAAGAAACCACTTTTTTGCTTTTGAAAAGTTTTTGAAAGTGGATTCTGTTGCTTCTTTGTGTACATACTTTTTTCCATGTGTGTTTCTATGTACTTGTAGCTGTTTATGCTCTCAGGTGTGTGTGTGTGGGTGTGTGTCCCCATGCATATGAGTGTATCTCACCAGTCGTGATGTAGGCCTTAGCACCTGTTTAAATTTTGGCAGTGAGAGATAAATTTTGGAAAATGTACTCACATTTAAGTTCCTCTTGTAGCCTTGATTAAGTTAGATGTTTTCTTTGATATGAATTTTATTTAATTATGCAGCTGACAGAGTTTCAAGAGAAGGAGAGGGCTTCAACCTGCATACTTGAGAGCCAAGGCAAGGAGATGGAAAAGTTCACTCAAGAAAAACTCAAATTTAAAGAGGAGGTGAGCTTTAAATGAAAACATAGTTTTTATCCTCACCATATTATGATGTCAACTTCTGTAATACATTCAATTCTCATACCATGTTCTCATTCTGGGTCAGTGATGATATTGATAGACATTTGAATAATTTACTGCAATTATGTGATTGGGTAGAAAACTTATATGTTTATTAAGAAGAATGGTATTTCTGTTCTTCTCTATCACTTAGGAGTGTATTGCTGTATTTCTCAAGCTAAAGAAATGTTCATTCATTCCTTTATCTGTGTGTATGTCTGCTTATCTTTTGTTAATTTTTTTAGTAGAGGTTTTACGGCGCTCGCAACTACATACGGTCATATGAGCGCCAAGGGGTGGATGTGAACAGAGAAGTCCTTATAGGGAATCAGACTTACTCTGCTCACCTCTCTAGTTTCAACAGCACAAAGTCTGCTTCGACTATCAAGGCACCCCGGAAATAGTTTGTCACAAGAGTGTGACAAACATACAAAAGAAGTAGAGGAAAAAATGACAATAGTAAGGATTAGGAAAGAAAAACCAGCAGTTCCCTGTTGCAGATCAGATACAGTTATGAGCGTAACATTGATGAATCAGCCCATTTACAATTCTACTGTGCATAAGAACATGGTTAATGTCCCCCCTTTGGGAATGGCCTAAAGACACTTCAGTCTGTGGCACTGCCCCAGGGGATCTTTTGTGAATGTGTCTGTCAGTCCTCCTTCCTATCCGTTCTGTTCACGCTTCTTGTCAATTCTTCAACCTTCCACTTGCCAGCACTTTTTTCATATGCATATTTTTCTACCAATTAAAAAAAACAAATAAAAAACTTGCAGCTGACGGAACTTCTGTCTGACAACTGTGCCTTGCGCAAGGAGAACGTGAAGCTGGGCAAGCACTTGCAGGACGCCATGGACAAGTTTGAGATCATCATTGGAGAGAAGGTCAGCCTGGAGAACTTCACAGAGGCTCTACAGGTCAGTTATTTGGGGCTCGGTGCATGGCACACAGCTGCTGATTTTTCCTGATAAATCCGGAAATCCAGATTTTTGTATTTGTCTGGATTTTGCTTGACTTATTGATGCAAGATGTATTAGACACACGTTATGCTAAAAATTTGTCTTTCGCAGGTGCGTTTCTACAGAGTTAGAAATGTTCAGGATTTTTTTTTTGTAGCCAGTTGACATTTCCGAAGTCACTCTTGTCAGCCCCCGTAATTAATTATGTTTTTCCGTACAGTCAGTTTTATTGGCACCGCCACAGAAAGACTCTTGGTCCTCAATGGTTCTTGTAAATCCTGAAGAACAAGGGGTAAAAACCCTGAAAGTATTGTCCAATGGTTAGTTATATTTGAAGTTGACCCTCTCATGTCAAATCCTCCTTGGCCCATACTCTTTCTAGTATTTAAACCTTGATAGTTGAAAAACATCTAAATAATCTTTATGAATGATTTTTAAGTGTAATAAAGGACACATTCAAAAGATGGACCCCCTTTTAGATTCTCCACATGTCTGTTTTGAATAAAACCTCAGCCTTTTTTAAAGATGGCCTATGATAACAGGGCGATGGTAAAAGCAAAGTTAGAACGCTATGATGCTGTAACTGTCTATCTGTTTTTGGTGTGCTGTCGCTTTCTCATTCAGCTTTTTACATTCCTTTTCATCTTCTTTGCTTTAAATATTTTTGCTTCTCTGAAAAGCAGGACCATGATGCCTACCTAGGAAATTTAAAGGAAATATTTCTAGTGGTGTGTGCTTATCTTAATTAATAACTATCCTTCACCCTTAAGGGCTGCCAGTTTTATAAATAGATATACTATAGGACAAAATCAGTGGTTAAACTTAAATCAGTGTGAGGTTTGTTGAATAGTTATTTGTTTTAGAATTGTAATATAATGACGTCACGCTTAAAACTTACTTATTTTACAAAATTTCTTTACCTACAAAAATTCCTTTTGCTAGTTGACAATATTTGTATATTATGTATTTCTTGAGTGCAGGGAATAAATTAATTTCACCACCCCCTCATAAGCATGCTTTACCAAAGTATAATCATGTACAGGCAATTAACCTACCCCAAATCACTTGGTAATGGTCCGTACTTTTCTTGCATAACTGCGTCTTATTCTCACTTTATCTTGTTCATGGCAGTCCAAACCTCATACTTCTCTCTTGCATATATTATGTATTTGTGACTTACTTTTATGCCTTTATGTTCATGTACAAAGATGATTATTATGTGAGGCAAAATTATTTGGAAAATTTGTTCTTTTGTTTTTTTCTGCAATTGCTTTTTCTTCTCATCTAGATTTTCCAATTTGATCATTTCATAATTTTTCAGAATTACAAATATGATTTTTGACTGCAAAGAAAACTTGGTACTACACAAAGCCTCATGCTGTGCTGCATCGTTGTGGATGTAAAACGTGCTTTCTTGACATAATTTTTTTTTTTCATTTAATGACTTAAGTTTCTTGGAAGAAATCTGTCATTTCGCTGAAGCCATTAAGTGCTAGCCAACTGTTCAGATGTACCAAGCTCAAAATTCTGAACTAAAAAAAAAATGCAATGTTTTAATCTGTGGTATTGGATGCATGTGCTTGGGAAATTTTTGCCAAAATTCAAAATCTAAATATTGAAAAAGCAAAAAATAATACATTTTATAATTTTAACTGTTAAAAGAATTAAACAGAATTTTCTTGCTTCTGAACAATCATACTTTCAGTGCTTAGAACAGTTGTACAGCTTGCTTTTCATACCTCTTTCAACACGGTATGGTTATTGTAGAGACTTGACCTCCGCACTTAACGTGGGTCTCTGAAACGAACAAGTTGAGAAGACGGAAATTCAAATCAGGGTCATCTGCAGCATAACCCAGTTGAGAGCTACAGTGCACCTTTCTTTGGGTGAAAATGAAAAAAGAAAAAGAAAAAAGAATTACAATTTTCCTCCAAACAAACGGAAGACATGTACACGCCTCCATCCATGCCTCACCTGTAGGGTCTACATTTCCTGGACAAGTACAAGCTTGAGTCTACCATTGGACAGCAGCAGAAGTTGATAGATCACGTGCAGGGGCTTTTCATGGAACATACAGCAGGAAAGAAGAAGAAGGTAGCTGCAACTGGTTCACCTTCTGTCAGTGTGTGTGTGTGTTGTTGGGTTGTTTTTTGTTTTGTTTTTTTGTTCTTGTCTTTCCGTGTGTGTGTGTTGTTGTTTTTTTTATGTCTTTCAGTGTGTGTATATGTGCTGCTTTTTTCTTCTTTAAGTTTGTTGAGACTTAATGTGCCTGCACAAACATGGGTTTTCAGGCACTAGTGGACTTGGAGACGTACACACACACAAACACAAACACACACACTCACACACACACACACACACACACACACACACACACACGCACACACTCATCCTCTCACATATATAGGTTTATACTTATGGATGGATTCATTCACATACACTCTCTCACACTTTCTCACTCACACACTCATCATACAAGTATGCATAAACACATGCACGCACACACACACACACACACACACACACACACACACACACACACACACACACACACACTCACACACACACACACACACACGCACACCCCGCCAATGTAGAATACTCAGAAACATTCTCAGCTTCCCGGGAAGCATACAGTGCAAGCAGCTGATTAAGGGCTCAAACTCTAACAAACTGACAAGATCTTCCACTGTCTATAGCTGGGTACACATTCCCACTTGGGTAAAGTGAGGAAAATTTGTGTAAAATGCCTTTCCCAGGGACACAACATGGGTCCCCTGATGGGATTCGAACCCACGACCTTATGATTGCGAGTCTGAGAGCCTAACTGCTGTGGTTTCTTTTTTTCTGCTTTACGTGGCGTAATCATCATAATTTCCCATATTTTCCTACTGTAACAGGTTTTTTTCCAAGCCTGATTCCATTCTCAAACTAGCTTTTGTCATGTTGATTGTTAGCGGGTGTTCTGGTGTGGTTTGCTTCTTCTTTCCTATCAAACACCTTTTGTCCATGTCTCTCCTCCTTTTTCTTTGCATGCTACTTTCTAGTAACACCTCTAATCTTCGGCACTTGTATGACCTATTTGTGTTGCAAGTGCAATGGAACTCTTACTAAAACTACTAAACTAAAGCTTTCATCGTTCTATTGACTTGACAATGACATACCATTTTTCTTTGTTTTAAAGCTTCTTTCTTTGCCTTCTTGTGAAATATTTTTCTCTTTTAAAAATATTTTTTGTCCTCCTGTGATTTCTTCTTTCTTTCTATGTGCTGTTTCTAGAATCTATACATCCGTTATTTCTTGTTTCAGAGCAACAGTTTTGTCTCTTTCTGTCCTTTTGTTTCTCTTTTCTGTTCATTTGTCTTTAATTCTTGTTTCTGTCTATTTTTTTTTTTTACATTCTCTTTTCTGTCTAGTATTTTTTCCTGTCCACTTGTTTAAAACGTTTAGTTTGTTTCGTATTTCACTTTTCTATCCACTTCATTTTTTGTTTGTTTATTTGCAACTACTCTTTTCTGTCCATTTCATTTGTCTTTTATTCCGTTCATTTGTTATTCCTCATTTATGTCCATCTCAATCTGTCATTTCTTTAGGGGCAATTGATTTCCCCCGCGGCTTCCACACTCTAACCATTATTGTTTTGATCGTTTTTGACATACTTTACTTCAACTGTTCAATTCCCCTTACTAAAATAAGCACTACTTATTAAATTTGTATAATTTGCGCACATAACAAGCACTAAGCACACACCCCCACACCCCCACCTTAAAAGAATGTTTCTCATGCGCTGACGGCCCCTTTACTTTCTATTTGGCCCATCATTAGTACTCCTGTCCTTGATTTTACCTGTTGTTGACAATGTAAAGACTTTCAGGAGATTACTCATATGACCAAATTGTGTTGCAAGTGCCATAAATCTCTTACTAAAACAAAACAAATTTCCTTTTTTTCCTTATTTCGTTAAAAGTTGTAAAGGTAGTGGCAGCTAAAATGTAGACAGTGTACAGGTTTAGTTTCCCAGTGGTAGGCTGTATTTTTCTCTTAAAAAAAAAAAATGCTTATGATCTATCCTTAGCTTTGCTTTTCCTCCACCTTTAATTTAATTATTTTTTCTTTGTGCTTCTCTGAAAGTCCAGACTCTAAATCCCTATATGTGTAATAATTAATCTTTTCCTTTTCTTTTTTCCCCCCCTTCTGAATTTGAAAATGGGTTCTCCAGAAGGTTTGTTCACTGTTGCCTTGAGTTAGTTTTCACGTGCCTGCGTGCCTGCCTGAGTGTTTGACTTACATACTTGTTTTGTTTTGTGTGCGTTGATTTTGTTTATGATGTAGGGCCATATCTTTACATTTAGAGCTTAAAAAATTTTCTTTTAGCTAAATAAAGTTGATGCATCAGTTGGTTTGCACCGAATTAGTCTCTTGAAAGTGTGATGTTAACAAGGTTTGCTGGAAAAGTAGTTGTGCTATTCAAATCAGACATTTACGTTCTTTAGTGGGTGGTTGGTAGGTGCTGTGGTGTGGTTGTGTACTCCTTCTGCCTCTCTGTGGTGTTGTTATCATTATTAGACTGCTCTTATTGAAATGTAACTGTCATTACGCCGACTTAACAGAAACTGCAACTCATCAGTAATATTTACTTTCTTTGACATTGGAACCCATCGCACAGTTTGAAGTTCATTATTGCATTTTTTTGAATGTGTTGTTTTCAAGTTTCATTTGACTGATGAATTGGTTTGGACACCTGTGCTGCAGTATATTGTCTCCCAAAAGTGTTGTGTTTTTCAGAGGCAAACCATTGTAGTTGATTATGTTGTTCATGCACTATAAGGGCATTTATATAGGCCTATATATATGTCTTAACAAGTTTTTTTTTGTTTTTTTAAATGAGAATATTTTTACAAGATATCAGGAAATATAACAAATCTCATGCCTATTGTTCTTAGCGGTGAAAAAAAAACAACAACCATGCTACTGTAGGCTTAATGGTTCTCTGTGGACTCTAGCTTTTTTCCTTCTGCCAAATGTATTTCTTTTGTTTGATGTGTGTAACTGCATTAAGCATAGATATGTATCCTATCCTATCAAGACCAGCTCTTAGCTCCTCAGTTGATGCTGTCACATTTTGAAATATTTTGATTGCCAAACATGCATTTGTGCCATGTTTCACCGAAGAGTATTTTCTAAAGACTGCATGTACCATACACAAATTTGTCATGTTTACAGTAACACTTGCGAATGTGTCGATGCCAGATTGGAGTGTTTTGTTTCTGATAAGAGTTGCTTGCATGTGCTTTGATGTTGTCACTTGAAAGTTGATAATGAAAGCTGAGGTCATAACAGGGGTGCCACTTTTTAAACAGAAATCCTAGAAAGCAAAAATACTTCATATTGATTATAATTTTTTAAAATGCTCTCTCCCCCCCCCCCCTCCCTGCTATGTGCCATTATTTGCTGTCTACATTTCCTTTTGTTTTTAATTCATTAGTTTGTGGGCTTTCTCTTCTCCTTGGGGGGGCACCCCTGTTTGAACCTAGTTTTCAGCATGGCTGATATGATTTGAGTGAACGTCGTTCTTCTTATTGCCTTGTGTTGATGTGTTGCCTTTACTTTATTGTGTTCTCACTCTTTGTTCATTTGACACTCTGCTCCTTCCAAGTTTTTAAAACAGATTGGAAATTTGTTACGAAACAATGTTTGTCTGAACTCTCATTTTAGATAAAGTAGTATCGACTACTTAGTGTAATGCTCTGCCACCCGTCATTTTGAAAAATGACACATGTGGGTGGTTGGCGGGTGCTCTGGTGTGGTTTGCTCCTTCTTTCCTATCAAACATCTACCGTTCTTATCTCTCCTCCTTCTTTTTTGTGTTTGTTACTCTCTAATTTTCGGCTCTTATATGACCTTATTGTGTTGCAAGTGCTGTGAATGCTCACTAAAACAAAAGAGACGTATGACGGAGTCTTATGCTAAGCAGTCGATATGAATGCTACACAAGAAATGATGACAGTGCCTTGTGTTCCAACATGTAACTGTGAATGAATGCAAAGTGGTCTAGATAAACACATGTCATCTGGGGAATTATTGACGCGGTACATGCACACTGTATGACTCTTTGAAGTGCACATTACATATGCTTCAGTGCATGAAATAGCTGAATTCATTGATGTAATCTCTATGCAAATTATTTTAGCATTTACATCTTGAACAATTATGTCTTTTTTATTTATGGAAAACTGTCAATTTAGAACTATTTTTCAAATATGCTGCTCTTTTCGAATTAAAAATTGTAATCATCTAAAGTTTAATTGGAAACATATGGCTGAATAAGGGTAGTGGTTGTTGGAGGTATAGGTATTGAAATTTTCTTGACAGTACTTATTGGTCCTATAAACAGACAAGTTTGTCTGTCGTCTCAATGGTTGTAAGCTGTTCTAGAGTCCAGTGTTTGGCTTGTCTGTCAAGACAAAGAAAATTTATTATTACTTTCATCTATGCATAAGTTGCATGTACATCATGATATCCTCCTTCTCTCCTCCATTTTTTATGTTTATTGTTCTCTTGTAACACCTCTAATCTTTGACAGTTATGACGTAATTATGTTGCAAGTGCCCTAAAACTCTTTCTAAAACAAAACAACCCCCCTCCCCCCCCAAAAATGGTGGCATTTGTGTCATTTATCATGTCATCAAATACACTGATAACCTATTATGTAGTTTGGTTTTTGTGCATGCTTGTTTGGTGATGGAGTATGATTGATGAGGTTGGAATCCTTCCTTTTTGTATCAAAATTATTTGGCAACTTTCATTGTTCAACTATATTAGGGGGAAAAAAGATTTTCATTGGAGGAATGTGGTTACACAAAACTAGGGCAAAATTGTTATCAGAAGTTTCTAGAATCAAGTGAGCAAATCTGCTGTACTTTTACAAAGATTTGCTCAGAAATAATATTCGAAACGAAGTGCTCAAAACTAAAGGCGTGTGTGGTCATTATGGAAAAAATCAAGAATGCCTTGGGAATGACATGTGGTTTTAGGAGCTAGAATCATGTACTTTTCAAGAAAAAATGGGTAATCTTCTGAGACGTATAACTAATCTTTTGATATTCCTATGATTTTTTTGTTAGAGAACTTGCAGTAAGCTGCTCCTAAAACCCCTATTTGTGAATGTAAATGGAGAGGAAGAACGCCCTTTCCCTCAACTCCAATAAAAACCAATAAATGGAAAAGTGACTTACCTATGAAATCTAACAAATGCTACTGTCTTCTCCACAGAATGGTAAATTATTCGGCGGCGGTGGTGGCAAAAGTGGCAAAGACGGGGCTAGTACCCTCCCCTTGTCATGGACAGACCAGCAGACGGCCTTGGAGCAGGAACGCGGCAAAAGCACACAGCTACAGGAGCAGGTGGATAGACTGAGGGAGGAGAACTTCCACCAGGCCAATGAATGTAAGTCCTCCCACAAGAAATGGGCTAAATAAAGGGGCTTTGACTTTTTCAATGTAAAGTATTGAGCTGTGCTGCTACCACCCATGTAAAGGACATTATGTAGGGCTCTTTTGCTACCACCCATATAAAGAAAATGATGTATAATTATATAGACCATAATTCGATACCTTAGAGTACTGTACAAAAGTGTGATACATTAGCTGAAAGTTATGAAGTCTATTAAAGAATGTTTAATTTGCTCAGTGGAGTTCACTCAAATGATTAAATTATTGTGGTGTTCAAGTCATGAGCATGTCTTCCAATTGTTTTCTCCCCACACGGTGGCATGGTGGTGGGTCTGACAAACTGACCTTGCTGGCAGGATCTGGCCCGTTCGTCATAGTGTGGTGACTCCTGTGCTAATGTAACCTGAACCTGATGGTGATAGATCTTTTCTTTAAAAAAAATTTGTTTTCTTATTTTTGTCTACTTGATAAAGGAAGATAAATGGCAAAGGGGGAATAGGCAGGCAGTGCGTGTATCTCTTATTTTGTCTTACGTTTAAAGATGCAAAATATTTATTTCACGAAGCATTTCAAAGTACTTTATATCGTATCAAGTTTTGCTGTGTGTGAACTGACCCAGGCTTATGATACATGTATATGAATTGAATGTTGAGGCAGACAAATGAAAGTTGAGAGGACAAATGAAAGTTTTGATCCTTAATTTTTTTTTCTTCCAGTGCTGAAGTTGAAAGCACTCTCAAGAGAAATGGATTTGGAGGGAGACTCATCAGCCCGGCGTGGGGAGAGAGGCAGCGGCACTCTCCAAGACCAGCAGAGGAACAGCCGCAGCAGCAGCAGCAGTAGAGAACCAGAGCAGGGCCATGGCCGACTTCAAGCCAACTTGACGGTCAAGCTGACCCAGTCAGCCATGGAGGCTCTGTCCAACCCCCCTGGAAGTAGCGGTCACAGTCGACAACAACACCAAGGAGCCCATTCCCTTGCTGGCTCCATGGCCTCTCTCGCCTCCAACGCTTCATCTTCATCGTCGTCATCATCTTATTCTTCATCGTCTCGGGAGCCGAGGACCCCAAGGACACCACATCATGGCAGCCGCAAGAACAGGGGAGGGGGTGGCCACACACCGTGGGCCTCCGAGCCCCTTCCTACCCCCCAGAGAATGAACCATAATATTCCACACAGGTACTTCAATGCTACTTGGAATTGGACATTTTTGCCCTATTCTATGTTGCACATAAAAAAAATTCCTTTTGCGCGTTTGTTCATCACTTTTGCTTTCTTGTGATAAGACTACGATATTACGAATCATACATATCACAAGCAAATGTCTGTATCACTGTCTTTTGAAAAGCCGCTGACCCCTTTGCTCGTTCACGTTTGATTTCTTGGATTCTAATAATACAGAAAAGTCATGATTGATAGCAGAATAAATTTTTACTGTGCAGTAAGTGCACATTCACCACATTTTTGCTGATAGTAATATGAACTTCAATTATAAATGCCGTTGCTAAAGGTTGTTTGCATACAAAGATTTGTCCAGCTGATGTTCTATCCTGTCGTTCTTTCAATTTTTCTCAATACATTCTCAATTCTCAACGATAACTCTTTATAGTGGAACCTTTTTCTATCGAATTTCGAAGCATGAATTGACCAGTTTTTAGCTTCAGTTAAAATTGTCCAAGACGGCCACTCATTGTTGAAGGGAAAGGTGTTTGTCTTAGACATGTGGAAGCCTTGGACAGTGCCATTATAATATAAAATTTAAAAAATCACACGAGAAGTGGGAAGTGACTGTTTGTACAGGTGATTGTCATGGACAGATGGCCATTAGAGCTGATTTGACTATACTTGATACCAATTTGTTTTGACTTGTTTCAGTTGAAGCATAGTGTGCATGTTAGGGGGGACACATTGTTGGCAGTGCTTGAGTGAGTGGAAAACAAATTCCCTGGTCACATCAACACCGTCTGCTTCAATTTCTGTGTAATTTGTTTTTCCATTCATTGGTTTCTTGGCAAATGTGGATGACTTGCGGTAAGCTCCAGGTCAACTTGAGAATGTTTCTCTCTACAATTTTGTTGTATGCGTCATGATTTGTTGTGTTTCCAGATTTGCTACAGGACTCAACACACGAGCCACCAAGTGTGGACTCTGTCTTGGCTCTGTTCATTTTGTCAAGCAGGCTTCTAAGTGTCAAGGTGAGTACATCATACAATGAGACTTTTGAATGTTGCTATTTCCGTCAATTGGATGACTCAGTCTTTCATGTATTGCATGTTTTGAACTTTGTTGTTTTCTTTTTCTCCCAATTCACTGCAGATTTTACTTTTAAGCTCTAATATAAATTAAACCAACATTTCTCATGTGCCTAGCTGTAACTTTTGGACATTTGTTTTTCTTTGCACTGGTTATGCACTACAAACCATTGTTTAAGATGGAAGCTAACTGTAAATGGAAAAAGTTTGTTTTTGAATGATAGTCCTCAGTTTTATGACATGCCTTGTTTGCCTTCTTTGGACTCTTTTTCCTCTTATTTTTCTGAGGTGGAATGGATTTTTCCGGGTTCACCTTTCTATTTATGTGGCAAGGAAATCACTCTGATCCTTTTGTAATTGTTTCAGTCTGACCTTTTCTTCTCTTTTGGTTTCAAATCCTTTTCCTATCTGCCACCTCTCGACCTCTGCTACTAAAGATGTTGGTTTTCTTTCCATCCTAAAGCTTCAATTAAAGTCAGAATTATATACTTTATACTCTTACTGGGATTTCGGAAACCCAGAAGTTTTACGTTTGGTCTAACTGGGAATATGGAAACAAGGAATTTTACATTTATGCTCTTTCTGGGAGTGTGTACACCAGGAATGTTCCTTTTATGTTCTTACTGATATGTGGAAACTTTGAAATTTTCTATTTATGGCTCTTAGAATTTGGAAACCAGGAATTTTACTTCTTTTGCACTGACTGTTTTTCTCCAGAATGTGGCATGGTAGTCCACCCTAAATGTGCCTCGTCAGTCCCAGCCACCTGCGGCCTGCCCACGGAGTACGTTCGTCACTTTGCCCTCATGATGAGCTGCATTTACAGAGACGAGGCGGGACAGCAGTCTGATGTGGACCAGTCTGCTGTCAAGATGGAGGGCTGGCTCAAGGTTCCTCGGTACGAAGAAATTATATACTTGTTGGCACCTCTCCGGGGTTCGTTAATTTACGGCAATGTAATTGTCATGGTACTCCAGAAAAAGATAAACGTATTGCTTACTGTTACAGAATCACGGAAATTATTTTTGAAGACTTGTAGGTGGAAAATGAAAATTGGAGGGGGTGTTGTTTTACAGTATTCTTGTCTGTTACAGATGTTTGAATATTTTGCCTATTCCGGGTGTATTTTTTGATGTGCATAAAACCACTGATTTCAGTGAAGGAGAACTTGGAGTACTTTTTAAAAACTGTCTATGGTATATATATTTCGACTCCACCATATGCCATTATGAAAAGTGACATATGATAGGATCATACTCTCTAAGCAGTCGATTTGTTGTGTTCCCATTGGACACAATTTTGTCATGCAAATGAAACAGCAAAACCTTCCCTACTTCCTTGACCAGTGCTTCCACTCTTCCGTATTTTTACTGAAATCCGTACTTTCTGCCAGTTCCGTACTTGTCCCTCCATCATTATCTACTCCCTCCGTAAAAAAAACTGCAACAGTGCAGGATTGCGGAAATTCCGTTCTCGCCTTCGTATCGTCTTGTATAAGGTACGGATATTTACGGTAATTCTCTCGGCAGCAAGTTAACGTTATAGAAACCTGCCAAATTGCGCATTTCGTGCAATCAGACATTATACTGCTATGTCCCAGTCCCATGCATTCTTTGTGTGTTAGTCGGCGGTACATTTTTTACCTGCAGATGGATCAAAATCTGGCGAACCTTTTGTGCCAACTTCCTCCTTTCTGTCATTCACTCATTCCTTCCGTCTATCTTCGGATTGTTGCCACGGCTGGAAAATCTGTGCGTTGATCAAGACTGATTTTGATCTTAGACAGAAAATTACTGTCGGAAAGAAACTTTTTTCGCAAATTTTATCTAGATCTAGAGAAATTATCAATGCGAAGATTCTACGGCACGTGAACGCAATATAAGGGCCGCGATGAAAGAAATATATACTGATACGGTAGTGCCCACTACGGATGGGATCGGCCGATTGCGCTGATCGCCCGACTCGGTCGAACAACCGTGTTTGCTTTGAAACTGAAAACAAACACGTTTGTTTTTGAGGCGATCGAGTCGGGCGGTCGGCCCGATCGGCCGATCCCGTCCATAGTGAGCACCACGTATAAAATCAAGAATAATTCGAAGTGGTGTTTCGAGGTTGTGACAGGCGACTTTCAGACATGAAAATTTAGAAAAAATGTGGGTATACGCTGCGCAACCGTATTTTGAAGGTACATCTATTCATTATTCCCAGGTTTGCCTGCTGTCAATGGTGCGACTACAAATTAATTGAATTATAGTAGCAATGAAAGGGGAACCTGCTTTTAAACATTTCCAGCATTGGAAAGATATGCTGGCGACGAAGTCAAACAAGACAAAATGTTGGTGAAAAAATAAATATGGGCTGAAGGCAATATCTTCAAACAGGCTCCCAAATGCCATTTTCTACCCTCTAAAAGCACTAAATTTCCATTTCTAAGGGGGCTTCGCCCCCTAATCCCCACCGGGGCGCTGTCCCTGGACCCTGCTGGGGGCCTTTGCGGCCCCCAGACCCCCTGCAAAATTTTCCTTACTTTTCAGCTTCAGAAGCACTGTTGACTCATTTTTTTTCTCTTTCGTATACGGACAGGAAAAAATCTGGTTGGGAGAACCGCTACTGCATGCTGGATGCTTCGTACAAGAGAAAGAGCAAACCTACAGACACACCCACATACATGCACATATTCTCACACACACACATATATGTGCTCGCACACATACACACAAACCCCCCGGGGTGGTGCTACTGACTGAAGTGTCTTTAGGCCATTCCCAAAGGGGGGACTTTAACCATGTTCTTATGCACAGTAGAATGGCTGATTCATCAATATCATACTCATAACTGTGCCTGAACTGCAAAAGGGAACTGCTGCTTTTTCTTTCCTAATCCTTACTATAGTCTTTTTGTCCTCTACTTCTTTTGTATGTTTGTCACACTCTTGTGACCCACTATTTGCGGGGTGCCTTGATAGTCGAAGCAGACTTTGTGTTGTTGAAGCTAGAGAGGTGAGCAGAGTAAGCCTGATTCCCTGTAAGGACTTTTCTGTTGACATCCACCACTTGGCGCTCATATGACCTTATGCAGTTGAGAGCGCCGTAAAACCTCTACTAAAACAAAAACAAAAGAACCACACAGACACACACACACACACACACACACACACACACACACACACACACACACACACACACACACACACACACACACACACACACACACACATTCTCACACACACACACACACACATTCTCACACACACACACACACACACACACACACACACACACACACACACTCTCACACATACATATACACACTGACAGACTCTAAATCATTCTCTCTCTCACACACACACACACACACCCACACACACACACACCCATCCCTTCCTTCACACTCTGTCGTTTTTCTCTGGTTGTGCAGACTAGGCAAGTCGGGCTGGGAGAACCGCTACTGTGTGCTGGAGGGTACCTGGCTCACCCTCTACCTGGACGACACAGATGCCAGTCCTGTTGACAGCTTCGACCTTAACCCCATGGATGCAGAGGTCAGCGTTCACAGCGCCGTGACCTCTGCCGAGCTCAGCAACACAGCAGCATCCGACCTCCATTATGTGCTACGGCTCGACCAAGATCCCCTGACCACCTGCTGGCCTGGACGGTGAGATTGGAAATCGGTTTTCATTTTCTTGTTTTGGCTGGGTGTTTCATGATAGTTTCGAAGTACAACTTGACAAGAGCACGTGGGACACATGTAAACATTTTCAGTTGGTAGGAAATTTTGAATTTTGAGCAGGTGGCGGCCGAAGCCTACTCTTATCGATTTTAGACGACAAAGGGATCTTTATTGTGTGCAACGTGCACATGGGACCTCCAAGATTTTTCACCCGTATCCGAGAAAGCTAGGTGTTAGATTTTACTTACTATAAGATCAGGGGTGTGGTTGAAAGACAGTAGTATGTAGTAAGGAGCAGCTAAGGAGTAGCAATGGAAAGGCTGCAGAAAGAGTCAGGAGCCTAGAGGAGGGGCAAAGGAGGTGAGGGGGAGGGGTAGAAACAGGAGACGAAAGCAGATGACAGAGCATTTTTTGAGAGCAGGAAAGGAGGCAAAAGGAGAACATTTTTTCCCGTTGTTACACGGATTTGTACCTGGGACCCTTTGATTGAGAGGTGAGCACCTTAACCTCTTAACCACGAGAGCACCCGCCTACCATCTTTGACAACACAACAACTCTGGCTTTTCCAGATGTGCAGGCGGGGTTTGAATGTTACAAGTGTTTATGCATCTTGTCCGGAAAAGAATTCAGTTAGATTGTCAAGAAGGATGGTAAAACTATTTCCTTTTTTTAACATTTCTTTTCTATTTAACTCTTCTTTGATATGCTTCTAGTTTATTGCTGGAGTATATTTTCATTCCTTGACGCTGAAATATCTGGACGGTTCATGTCAAGAAACTTGTATGCCATATTTTTCTAAAATTGAGTTTTTTTTGGTTTTTCGTGGCCGCAGATCTTTCTCTGTCTCATATCTTTTCAGTGTGAGGATATGTGACAGAAAAGGATCTGCAACCTCGGGAAAGCAGAAAAGTCAATTTTAGAAAAATGTGGCTTACATGTTTCTTAAACTGAACTGTCGATCTAAGGATTTACCTTTTTTGTGCTGCCCTCCCTCCCCAGGTACTTGTATTTGATGACAACAAACTTCCAGGAAAAGCAGCGGTGGGTGGCGTCTCTTGAGGCTGTTGTCAAAAGTGCACAGTGCAAGAGTGACTTGTACAGAAATGTAAGCTTTTCTGATTTCTGTTTAGGTGTGAGTGAGTATGCAAGTGAGAGTAAATATGCAAGTATATACATGTTTTTATGTGTACGTTCTTTATTCTCACAAGATACAAATGTGTGTTTATGAGTTGTTATTTGTTCGTATGTGCATGGGTCCATGATCTTTCGGTTGTCCAGATTCATGCCCTGTGGTTCTAAGGTTGGAAAGCTTCTTTTTTTTTTTAACCCAAAAAACGTCAGTACCTACATACATTGAAAATGCTATATCTCAGGCTAGATGAAAAGTAATGTGAGGATTTAAAGATGCACAATGCTCAGCATAAGTTTTTAAAATAATTAGAAAAATGGAATAACATTTTGAATACAGTTTTACAGAAATGGCAGGTTTTCACATCAGGTCTCACTTTCTTTTGACAACCTCGCTTTTGATTTGACTCTGTATTTTGTCCTCACAATGTCATTCTGAATGGAATTCTGTTTTTATTTTCTGCTCACAGAGATCTCAGATGCTGACCGTTTTGTCCCTCAAAGAAGAAGAGCGTCGTGACTTTAACTGTACACTTGTCATTTCCAGCCAGGTAAATGAATGTGCATGTAAATTGTTACTTAATTAAAAAATGGTGTGGTTTTTCCAGACAGTTTGGATTCAGAATATTTCTAACTGCCCTGACTGTTGAATTCCTGGTTGATGAACATGAAGTTTACAGATTTTTTGGGGGATGTATTCTAAAAAGTGTATAAAGATGTTGCTTGATTGAGATGATACCTATAATTAACTTTTTTTTAATGGAGAAAAAAACTTGGGAATGTAATGTTCCACAGAATATAAAGTTATTTGTAATAACATCTATGTCTCTTTCCCTTTCCCTGTCCCTCCCTTCCCCTCTCCTTCTTTCTCTCCTCCCCCCCCCCCATCTCTTTTCTCCTCTCCCTCTCTCTATCCCTCTCTCAGAGCAAACATTGGAATCTCTGTTTGCTGTGCAGGCTTATGTTCCTGTTCTGGGTGTGGGTACTGTACTTACTCTTACATTCACTCTCTTAATCTTAATTATAGGTATCATCTCAATATTTCGCCACAGAGGGCTTCATTTTGGAGTTACTTGACCTTATTGTTGAAAGAGACTTCTCCAAGTGTCACTAACAAATAGCTTGTGGTGTCTGGGCAGATTATATGATTTCACCTTATAATGTTAGAAAATGTTTGAGAGCAGGCAAACCGAGCAAGCAAAGGCAATAAACCTATACATTTTTAGTAGGTAGAATGTAAAGCTCATTTGTGAAGGAGTTGAAATGTTTGGCGATTTAAAATACGAGATAAACGAACTGAACCAACACTTAAGTTACTGCAGATTAAGTTGGCCTCAAAGGAAACTGAAAACGGATTTGACTGGCCGTCGACACTTGGAGGATAAAAATCATTCTTGAAAACTTCTCCATGTTTTAGTTTAAAAAGATGTCTCTTCAAATTGATGCTTCCTTGAAAGGAATCTCCTGATTCCTATTGTTTCATCCCTGCACTATAAAGTCTTTCTTTGTTCTCGTAGTTGGTTTTGGCAGGAACAGACGATGGCTTGTACGCTTTCAACCCATCGGCCATGACTTCAAAACGGAAACAGATGACCCAAATTTCTGGGTTTGGCAGTGTTCATCAAATGATCTTGGCCAAGGGTGTTGATCTCATTGTCATCTTGACAGGTAAATACTTAATGAAGTTTGTTTTTTTTTGGAGACAACCGAAGGCTTAACTCAAGGAAGAGAGGTGCTAATTTTGCTGATGAATTCTGAAATTCAGATTTCTGAAACTTTTCGAACGTAGAATAGTTTTGGTACAAAATATACTGGACAATGTTGTCTATAAATTTTGAGAACCCATGCATGTGTTTCCATGCGGTTAGTAACGATCAGGATGTTTTTTCATTGTCCGTTGGCTCCTCTAAAGAACAGTGGAGACCCCGTTGAATGAACTTGTTGTAAGATGTACACTTGCGGAAAATTTTCCTGAACCAGAGTTTGTCTTTGGGTAGTCCCAAGGTCGTTGATGGAAGCAGAGTCCTCTCTTGTGAAACCTGAAATTGCTACATCATGACGTGCTCCTGTTTATTTTAGTGGCAGACAAAGTTTTTGGATTCTTTTTAAAGCTTGTTCATTTGCCTTGCATTTGATGAGAAAGATACCTATATATACTCGTACCTTGATTAGAAGTCACGGTATTTGCCATGGAAGGAGGTGGGGGTTGCTTGGTATCAGAGATGGTCAATTTGGGTTGCTTCCAAAGTTTTGAATGTCCTTGAAGACTGCAAATTAACATCTTTTTGGTGTCTATGATTTATGTTTTTCACTGAAATTCACTCAGAAATATGTTTTCAAATGGGCAGAAAAATCATTATTGCCCAGTAGACTGAAAAATGCCAGTGTCTTCGATTCCATTATTTTAATGAGGGTCTAATATCACCTCGATGACACACAAACTGTTTAAGTAAATTGATGGCTGTCTTTCGTTTCTTCAGGTCCTGAGCGTCGGCTGGTGCTGCTGGAGAACAAATTGGTGAAATGTCGCATGAGTCAGACGCTGGGCGGGGAGACCACTCCATTCTCTTTCCGCACCATCGAAGGTCTTCAGTGCTGCACCATCTTTGACGTGGGCCTGTGGAACAACGCTAGTTACCTGTGTGTGGGAACACCCACCAAGGTGTATTTGATGAAGTACAACCCCAGCCTTGCCATGTACTGTGTCAGGAAGGTATTTGTCCTTTTTTTTAAAAACCTCTTCACTGTTGTGTAAACGTATGTATTCACTTGTTATCTCAAATTAATTCACTGACAGTTTTCTACTGACCTACATAGAAATGTTTGGATGCTTGTGCCATTGCTTATTCTTAAATAAGGGGGAAAATATATTAATATTATGGCTTTGTTTAAATCTCTCTTGAATAGTTTATCTTGTCCCTTCAAACATAGATAGAAATGTCTAAGCAGTAAAGAGATCAATGTGAAGGTTCTTGGTCAAGCGATTTGGGGGCGGGGACAGCCAGCATGTATCTGTACTGCAGTAGTTCCATTCCGCATTTCGACTGTACTTCACCTTTGTTGTTGAAAGAGACTTTAAAAATGTTGTAAAGACTTTTCCATGGGTTGTTAGCTAAATATCCCTTTTTTCTTTTTTCTGTGTCCCTATTCTGCAGGAGTTTCCCAGTTCTGAGCCGTGCAGCTGTGTATGTATAGCGGAGAACTATGCCATTGTTGGCACCGAGCGCTTCTACAAGATCAACCTAGAACACCCCAGTATGCTCGGTGGGTGCCTATAATTGTAATGATAATAGCATTTCATCAGCAAGCTGTTTAACATACTGAGCCAAGGAAGCAACATTTTTCAGGAGAGAGAAAAAAACTGCTTCATTCTTTTAATATTTTTCCTGTAGGGTGAGAAACCAAACAAGTTGACCTGCTTTTTCTGTAAATTGTGCTCAACCAGGGTAAGCCGGTCTTATGGCGAAGAATCTACTATTGAGTAATTTTAACTTTTTTTTCCTCAAATTTTCTTAAGTATTTCATTCCAGAATGAAAAATGTTCATTTTTCTAAATCATTTTTGTTATGTAATTATAGAAATAGCATATTAGAGTGAAACCAGACTATCTGAAGATCAATTTTAAAGAGGTAAAAGCTCAAAAATAAAATCTGTGAAATAATTACATATCTATAATCAGTGAACAGATCCTAGTAAAATGACACTCGTTTTTCTTGAAATTATAAATGTTTTATGACTCTTAGATCATTTGTTTTTTGGCGAATGAAAACAATCCAATTGCTGAAGTTTAAAAAATCATTTGAAAAAAGATTGTTCAAATATTTAAAAGCTAGCATTGTATTATTCAAAATTGCATTGTACAGTTATCCTCCTAATTTCAATTTTTGCCTGGAATAGTTTTTGAGTTTTTAGCCCTTGAAGTCGTGAAATTAGCATTTGGAGGAGGGGGGGGGGGAGTAAAAACATCGAGAAACTGTGGTTAGGCATTATGTTAGCCTATAATGATACACATTTTGTGGAGGTAGAGGTTTCTCTTAGAAATAGGACATTTAGAGTACTTCCTTTTTATTTAGCTCATTTTTTCAAGGGAAGTTTCTCAAAATCTCGTAAACACTGTATGACCTCTAACCAGAACCCAAAAAGTAGTGTGTGGAACAAAATGATAATAATGCACTACTGTACGCTTTTTTTGGTTGTTGTTGTGGGTGGTTGGTGGGTGCTCTGGTGTGGTTTGCTTCTTCTTTCCTATCAAACATCTATCGTCCTTATCTCCCCTCCTTCTTTTTTATGTTTGTTACTCTCTTGTAACACCTCTGATCTTCTGGGGCTCATATGACCTTATGCTGTAACGAGCGCCGTAAAACCTCTACTAAAACTAAACTAACGCTTTTTTGCAGACTTTGTCGATCGCCAAGATCAGTCTTTAGCTTTTGCTGCGTATGGTGCTGCCAACCACAACAGTTTCCCCCTGTCTGTGGTTCGAGTCTCGCCTGATGACCTACCACTTGAGTTTCTACTTTGTTTCCATGGTGAGATGTAGTTTTGCAAAGTATTAAGAGAAACTGATGTCATAAGTACTTGAAATTCTTCAGTTTCTGTGCCTCTCCCCCCCCCCCCTTTCCCTTCCATCTCTCCTGTCTGTTTCCCTCCTTCTCCCTTTGCCCCCCCCAGCCATCTCATTCCTTGCCTTCTGTATGTGTGTTGTGTATGTGTGCCCGCGTGGGGGGTGGGGGAGGGGGTGCGCATGAGGTAGGGGTAGGAAGGGGACTTTTACTTTACTCTACTTTTCTGATCCAGCAGCCATTTGTGTTCTAGCCCTTCGTCCTGTCGATATGGCAAAAAGAAATTTCAGCTTTTTTTCAGCTGTGTTTTGTCGTTATATAGAGTAGTTCCGGTGTCTGGGGAGGCAGATAGGTAGGTAGGTATTCCTTGAAGGCTCTTCACTTGTGGAGTGTTGGAGAGCATGACTAGTAAATCCTACTCCTTTTCTTTCCCTTGGTTGCATCTGTCTATCTGTCTTGCTTTTTCTGAGCATCAAATGAAAATTATTGTGTCACTGTGCTTCTCTTTACTCAAACAAACAAATAAGTGTTTCACTTTCATTCCCTGCATTTTGTTTCTTTTCTTGTCACTCTACATGTTTGCTTAGTTGATATGTGGATTTTTGACAGGTGTTCTTGTGTCCTTTGTCCTTTTCTTCTTCCTATCTCTATCAAACATTGATAATCTTTTTCTCTCCGTCTTCTTTTCTATGTGTATTTTACTCACTGTACTATTTTTTTTACATGTATATGACCTAATTGTGTTGCCAGTGCCGTAAAAATCTTACCAGAAGAAAGATGGTTGAGTCTGACTTTTTAGGTGTCTTGCATAATTTCAGAGTTTGGTGTTTTTGTTGACCATCATGGTCAGCGAAGCAGAACCTCAGATGTCAAGTGGGGTGGTCTTCCTCTTGCTTTTGGTAAGTAATTTTCTGCTTTCTTATTAGTGCGGAAATATCGACGTGATTAGGGGAGCCCTCGCTTTTTGTTTGTATTGGCAAGAAAAGAAAAAGAAAGGGAAATATTAGAGTAAAAGATGTAATAATCTAATTTGGGTAAGTAGGTTTCTTTAGTCATTCCAAGATTACAGAGTGTTGAGTTTTACAGTACCATTTTTCTAATAGTATTTTTTTTTCTTGTTTTCAGAATTTATACAATATTTTGGGAGTGTTTTGAATGTTAAAAGTTATTGATGTCTTCATAGATCAAATGTTGGATGACAAAATTTCTTCTAGTATAAAATACAGGTAAATTAACTCACCCAACCCTAACAAGGATAATATCTGTATACGCGCCCGCAACACCCCAACCATAAAGCTGACAGTATCGGTAGGGAAAATTTCGCTCTCGTGACCGAAAACACTACTTTTGTGTGAAGCAGATTATGGCCTAATTGGAAGAGTGACCATTTTTCGTTTGAAACAGACTATGACCAGAAGTGCAAGCCCAAATTAAGAACAAAGAAAGCTACATTTGTGAACCGTGTGAGGGGGTGCGGAATTTGAACGCACTTCCTTTCTTCGCTTTTTGTTTACTTTTTGACTCTGTACATTAGACCTCTTTCCGGGGAGTATTGCATAAAAACTATCACATATTTTCCTTCAAATTTTCAATACACACAAATAATGGTTTGAATAAAATGTGTACCAAATTTGGGTAGGATATATATTAAAATTTAGTTGTTTTTAAATTTTTTTTTCAAAAAGTGGTAAAAATCTCTTGGGAGAGCTGACAACCCGGAAGTGTAGGCCTAGGGTTGAGTGAGTTAATGGTCACACTGATGTCTACTGGGACTGGAAAAATAACCATGATAAATTACATCTAAATATTTACATAGTGCATTTTCACACAAAAAGTGCTCAGTATGCTTTACAATTGTACAAAGAATACAGGGTTGTTGTACAATGAATGGCAGTATACTATATGAATTGTGTCACTGTGTAAGCATTCAAAATGTTATTGCATTATGAAGCGCATGGAGTGGCGAAGGAGGGAGCTCTATAAAACTTAAAAAGTGATATTTGTTATTACTATCATTATTTCATCCCCAGCGTTTATCGAACCATTCCTGTATGTGACTTACTGCAACACAGTGCACGCAACGGTAGTGCCCACAGACAGAACGCAGGCAAAGTAAGTTTTGATTATCAGAAACATATTTAATACTTTCTTTTTGATGATACAAGAGTTACGGTGATGGACTTCAAATATTTCTTTCAGTCAGTTCACATCTGTCCCCTTGGCCAGTGAGATCAATATTGCTTCTGGCAGTAAAAATTTTGTTCTGATCTTTTTTTTAATACAAAGTATATCTTAGTTTGACTTAATCATGAGTGTTTCCATGTTTAGTTTGGCTTTGTTCCAATTCCCTAATACTTGTATCCCCCTTTTTTACTGATTTTCAAGCACTAAGATCGTAGGCAGGGATTTATGTGTAAAGAAAGTGGAAAGGTTTTCTCTAAGATTGGAATACACTTTTGTTCTCTTGTTAGGTTTGTGTGAGAAAATGTGAGGGTCATGGAAAGGTGGACGGTCAATTATTATGTATTATTACTTCTTGTCTGCTTCCCTCTTGTGGGCGGGTTGTTAAAGGGCACAATTGGTGGGACCTTTCTTTTTTTCCCCTCTTTGTCGTTTTTGTCCGTCTATCTTGCTTTTCTCCCTGCACCAAAAGACTGTCTGTTTTGTATCGATGTGTTCCTCTTTACTCAGAGTGGGTGTTTGAGGGCACGACTAGTAGGTCCCAACTTCTTTTGGTGTTTCTGTCAGTCTATCTTGCTTTGTCCTTGATCTATGTGACTGTTACTGTGTTGATAAATTCCTCTTTACTCTGTGTCGAACTCAAAATCATGGAAAGATTGTTTGTCTGTAATGATGTATTATTGTATTATTCTTTCTTGTCAGTTTCCCTCTCTTTTGGATAGCTGACGGAAGCTCTGGTACGGTTTGCTCCTTCTTTCCTATCAAACAACTATCATCCTTGTCTCACCTCCTTTTTCTTTGTACGTTACTTTGGCATATATATATGGCCTATTTATGTTGTAAGTGCTGCAGAATTCTTACTAAAACTATACTTTCCCTCTCATGTGACCAGGGGCAGACAGACTGTGATTGATGTCCAGTCCCCTCGTTGCCTGGGCCCCGCCCCAAGCTTCGGCTGTGTGTATATCAGCAGCAGCAACAACGCGGCCGCCGTGACGGAGATCATTAGGATACGAGGCCAAGAGGGTTTTGTCTCAGAAACCCCGAACGACAAGGAGAACATGGGCAGGTAGGTCAGTGATAACATTAACCTCACCACATCTTCCCTTCCCGCCGCTATTTTTACCCCCTTCATTTCACCCTCATGACCCATTTTCTCTTCTTCCCATGAACAACTTTCTCCTCCTCACAAGAACCTACTGCATAATTTTCCTCATGACCAAATTTTTTATTTTCCTTCATAACCCAGTTTCCCTTCTTCCCCATGCCTCATTTTCTCATCTCCACAAAAGACCTACTTCCTCCTAATTATGATTTATTGCTGGTTTATCCCTTCTTCTAAAGTAGATAAAAAGAAGTTGGGGAAGACTTTTGGTCGAGGCAATGTAGTGCAGAACCTCCAGGTGTGCCGTTTTGCTTGCGGAACAATCTACAATGATAAAAATCACATATGAATACTTAAACCCCACTTGGATATTTCTGAAGATATTGAAAATTCATTCAACCTTCCACTGCCATAGAGAAATATGTGGATTATTTTGTATGAGTTGTGTATGATGTAGTTTTTCTTGAAGTCTGTGTAATTTCAGGGATATTTCATGATCAAAACACTGGGGTTTTTTTTTTCAGAGAATGTTTCTTAAATGTGGTCTTGTAGTAAAGGCTTACTTCACTTGCTTCAATACTTTTTGCAAGTTCATCATCATCACTGCCTTTTTCACCCTGCATCAGGATATATAACCCCAAACAAACACTTTCCACCTTTCCATTTCCATATCCTCTTGATATTTTTCCGTCTTTCCAATCTTCTGTACATAATTTTCTGTGACTTTAGCGAGTTACAGCCCTGAAAAAGCTTGGAAATCCAATTGCATTTCAGTGGCTTGCCTAGCTGTGGCCCCTCTCTTCAATTGTTGTTCCATGTTATAAAGTCTTTTTTTTTTCTTCTCTGCAGCACCCGATCACTTACAGACAGACAGGTTCAGTTTGCCAGTCCAGCCAAGACTCGAGTGCACCGATTGAAGCGTCAGGGATCTCTTTCATCTCTCAACAGCAACTCCAGCGTCGGCACTCATGCCAGTATTGAATCTGACGTGTGAAACTAGGATCTGAAGATTCTCTTACAGCACAGCATACAGTAGGGTCAGCTAAAACCGAATGTGGTTAATCAGGGGGAAACCATAAGAATATAAGATTTCTGATTTTTTTCCTTTTTTTTGGAGCTATCTCTCTAAACCAAAAACCTGGCTAAACGGAAGATAATCCAGCAATCCTGCAGATTTAGGTTCATATGCGGACTCCTCTATAGTTTGCTGTCATGTTTTTCTCCTGAGCAATAATTTATTGTTGGCAGCTAGGGTTCATCTTTTTCTGTGCTGTGTTTGATTTTGTTACTTTGAATTTAGAGAAATGAGGCATGAGAAGAGCTGTTAAATTTAAAGATTTAACTCGCCAAAAATGTACATTCTAATTAACTTTAGATTTCATGACTGTGAGAAAAAATGTCTTATTCAAAAAAACTTTTAAAACTGTTTGTTAATATAATTTTGTTGCTGAATGTGTGACAAGAAGGAACATTCATTGTTAGTTTTGTGAGGTTGTCAGTTATTTCTCGTGCCTTGACTCAGATCTATTCTTCATAGTAGCTTTTGAAATGTGAGTTAACTTTACAGCAGTGTATATAAGTATTGAAAGATAACTAATAACATATTGTTACCTTGTTGAGATCGCATTGAGATGCATAATCCTGTTCTGTCTGCAATTGTGCACCTGTGGTATCCAGAAAATTGTCTTGCATGCCTAAGACAGTTGGTCTAATGGTTAAAAACTGAAACTAACAAACAAACTTGTGTTCTTGTCACTTGTCAGATGTAACATAATTCCTGTAGTGCAGTGCTGGATTGGCAAACCTAGCTTGGTGTTTAAGGCATTAAATGTAGACTGTAGAAAACTTACATTGAAGAATATTGGGAATTTGTTCAGCTTTCTTGCTGCTTTGTTTCTGCATGCAAAGGTAATGGTTTGTAAGTACCTTTGTTCTTTTTATATCTTCTGTAGTATAAGCAAGGAATGGTAATTGCAAGACACTAAGAAAGAATTAACCCCCCCCCCCCATTTTAATCTTTCCCTTTTCTTTACACCCCAAAAAAGGGGAAAGTAGAATAACTTCAGGCAAGAGAGGGTGAAGTGATGTTTTCAGCACATCTCTGTGCCTCCTAGTCAATATCATTTTGTCAGAGGTGTTGAACTTGAAAAATAATCATTTCTGTTTTTAGAAAGAAGTTATATGTGTTGAAGTTAAAAAATATTCCTGTCTTTAGAGAGGGGCCATGTGGCTGGCCTGTGTCACCCGCCTAGTTTTTTTTTGGCCAGTGACTCAGTTTCTCTCTGGCAAAGTAAATTCATCTTTGCACGGCTCTTGTTTGCTGGCCTGTGCATTTAGGCTCATCAGTCATGTAGCTTCGTGATTGGGGAGGGGGGGGGGGGGGGGGGGTGTGATGGGGATGGGGATTCAGTTACTGGCTGGTCAGCATTTTGGAACATCTCTCAGCCCTACAATGAGAATAATTACGTAACTTATCATTTCTCATTTTATTTTCATGTCAAAGACTCAAAATTTCTTATTTATATATACAAACCTGCATACATATTCATACGTCCAACTACTTGTAAGTGGGTTGTTGGCGGGTGCTCTGGTGTGGTTTGCTTCTTCTTTCCTATCAAACATCTATCATCCTTATCTCCCCTTCTTCTTTTTTATGTTTGTTACTCTCTTGTAACACCTCTAATCTTCTGGCGCTCATATGACTTTATGCAGTTGCGAGCGCCGTAGAACCTCCACTAAAAGTGAACAACTACTTGTGGTTAGCGGGTGCTCTGGTGTGGTTTGCTTCTTCTTTCCCATCAAACATCTGTCGTCCTTATCTCCCCTTCTTCTTTTTTATGTTTGTTACTCTCTTGTAACACCTCTAATCTTCTGGCACTCATATGACCTTATGCAGTTGCGAGCGTCGTAAAAAAAAAAACTCTACTAAAACTAAACAACTATTTGTACAAAGCTACTGGTACATATCATTATATTGTGGTCCTATCTAGTTGTATATTCCCACCATATTGCTTTATCTACATGCTTTTTTTTTTTTATTTCGCAGTTTGACAATAATAAAATGTTTATATTTATACAGTCTAGTATGCTCATAGCGAAACAGGCACATTGCAAACAAATTTTCAGGTCCAACATTTTTCCTTATGCATGTATGTTCTTTGTATTTAGAAAACGTACATAGCGAAGTTCATATAAATATATATATAACGAAAAGATTTCCTACGATTTCGCTATGTGCATGTTAGATTGTAGTTGCATTTTTTTCTTTCTTTAATGCTTGTCAGGCTCCTAAACTTCTGTTGAGTTTCAACACCTGCGACAATACCATGTACATATGTTGTTACAAATGGCTCTCTGTATGTGCTTAAAAACAAAACTTCACTTTAAAGAAGCACTTTTTAATATTGCTCTTTAACAGTTTTTCCGCAGCGGTTTTGAAAGTGAACCTACTAAATAGTCTGTTATAAGTCTATGGTAAATTATTGTGTTTTATGACTTAAATATAGATCTGTTTTGTTTTAATGCCACATTTCATGACATTTTAAAATGTCCCTTACTGTTATGAACTCTTTTTGTTCTTTTTTTCTCTCCATGTTTTGTAAAAAAATGGCTATAGAGAGACGACCGCTGTGAGTATATATATATCTTGTCAGTCAGTAAAAACACTATAAATCAATTTCCTCTTGTTGTATACATTATTTGCTTGGTAAATATTGACATGGCTTATCAAACATCTATTGTCCTTATCATCTTTCCTCCTTTTTTTCTGTTACTCTCTTTAACACCTCTAGTCTTCTGCACTTATTGAGTTGTAAATGCTGTAAAACTCTTACCCAAAACAAATATAGTAGATGTTGACATAATCAGTCTAAAAATGAACTGCCAAGCACTGGGTGGCTAATGGGCTTTCTGGTGTTGTTTGCTCTTTCTGCTTCTTTTCAATATTTAAAAAAATCCTGTTCACTCTAGAATGAGACGATGTTCTGTTTGTAATTCTCAATACAGTTGAACCTTCTGAAACGGTCACCTGTATAAGACAATTATATGTACAAAAGGCCACTTCCCATTTTCCCCCCTCTCCCTCTCCCCCTGCATTTTTATTACTGTACATTATAAAGGCACTGTGTAAGACAGTGACCTATGACCGCCCCTTTTCTCCTCAACCATGGGTGGTGTCTTAGACAATTTCAGTTACACTCTACACTACAAAGCTTTTGAGTGACAATGACTTGACAAATAAAACACAAAAGAATTGTTCAAACAAGTTTTATTGGCAGAGGGGAAACAAGAATATCACAGTCTGTAATGTTACAATGGAATGCAGGTAGCAATTATTTTATAGAGATTTATATGTGTGGACACAGTTCAAAATCTCTTCCATTTCAAGAATACTGAAGATGGATAGACAAAAAGTAATCTCATATATACAACTCACAGGAATCTTTTATATATATACAAGTTAAAGGATGAGCGGAATCTCTCCACAGCATACAATACTGTCTGAGGCTTTGTACTGCACCTGGTGTCTGTGATGTAATTGTGTAATAATTACGTGCTTTGTCTTTGCATGCAAGGCATGAGTTTGATTCGCCTGTCATGATGTATTTTATATAGTATCTCCGTCTTTCTGCTGGGATACTGTATCCCTCTCACTCTCAGCCCAGGGTTAACCCCAACAGGCAGGGTTCCCTGTCACTGAAATGATCCAAATTGTGTTGATGGGGGTGCGAAACTAAAACATGTACATACTATACTTTAGTGCATAGACAACATACTCAAACTGATCAAAGTCAAGATTATAGGAGACGTGTGGTCAGATACAAACCAAATAGGTGTCAAGAAGAGTTCCAACCCATCTGAGTTCCAATTTTCCTCTTCCTTCATGTCACAGTTGCTTACAGCAGAAACCTCCATCACCCTAATAAGAGGGCCACCTCCTTCTCCTTTGAAATAATCTTTTCTGGATCTAGTACAGTCTTTGTTTTACTCTACTAAAAAAAATTAATAAAAATCAACTAAATGAAAAGTAGTTCTCTCAAAGTCTGTATATTCCACACGGCACAATATTACAGTACTGTTTGATTCTAATATATCTTAGCTTTTAATCACAAACTGAGCAAGTTTAACTTTATAAAACACCTGCTGTTTGTGTTTTTTAGAATGTTGTCAGGGTAAACAAGAGAGAACCTGCAAGACTTTTGATAATAAAGATCAGGAAGTCGAATGCTTGACATAAAAAAACTAATCAGCATAGACAATTCTTGTAAAGTTTCTCATGAAAATAAATCAAATTAAAAAGTTTTGATTTATTGCAATCATGAAGCAGGATGAGTAATGTGTTGTTGATTTACATCTGCGTTTATTGTTTTTTTTTTCCTTTTTCTGGTCCTCCTCCTCCTCCTGCTCCAACCACACCCCCAGCTATTTTCCCTAAGCACCCGCCCACAAAGTTCTTCAACCCACAGTACAGGCGGCATCACCTACACAGCTGTATCACTTTTAGTTTTACGCTGGCTTCAGGCTTTCCTTTCTGCTCTGCGGTCCCTTGCCCTTGGCCTCCTGCAAGGCTCGGTTTTTCTCCTCCTCTTCCCGCACAGAGTCCATGGCCGTTACCCAGTGATGGAGTTTGACCGACACTTCCAGCTCTAGGGGAGGGGGAGGTAAATCTTCCTCCTCTGCTTCCTCGGCATGCTTTCCCTTGGCTCCTTTCTTGTCAGCCTCCTTGCCACGAGGGCTTTTCTTGGCATCTAGAGGAGAAAAATTGAGATTTTATTGTGAAAGAAAAGCGCAGACAACTTTTTGTTTCTGCTTGTGAAGAACCTTGTTTCACAACAGTTCATGATTTAGACCAGCATTTACAGAACAGAGATATCTCAAACACATTGGGGGTTGACAAATATATTTGACACATCCATAATTCAAGTAAACCGTGTTAACAGAAAATAGGAGAGACATTGAATTAAAAATTAAGGGAAGTAGGCTTTCTATTTTCCCTTCTCTGCCATTGCCATCATGAAAAGTACTCGATGTTCACAAAAGGATAGAAAGATGGATAGTGTCTGGGCCTTGTTCAATGTCAAAGCAAGAAGAGAGAAACTGTTGTAGATGAGCCTTACTATTACTACTAAAAAAAAGATTGCAAAATTGCTCCACCTAACATCAAATCATGATCATGACTTAACCAACATTAGTCAGAACACACCATTCACCCGTCTTGTGTAATCACTTCCTGATCCATATCTTCATATTCAACAAACAACCACTCACACACACACAAACACACATTCACAGGTAATGTGGTATTGTGAGTGTGAGATGATCTCGATACCAGCAGCATGTATATTATGCTGTGTGGAAGCAAGTCTGGTGGGTTGAGGTATCTTGATATGATAGTCTACACGATGATGGATGTGTTTGATTTTCAATGAATGTGTGCGTAGGGTGATTTGAAATCGAGACAATTGTTGGAAAAAATTTAATTCACTGGGCTTTTTGAGAAGAGCTATTTAACACATCTATGTTGTTCAAACAAGAATGCTACACTACCAATACAAAAAAAATAAGCCATTCAGTTAGTAGTTAGGTAATGACATATGTGAGGCAGCGTGGTGGAATCAGGCTCTCGTCAATTTTTGGGCATGTAGAGTTATTGGTATCATCTTAAAGCTTGTTCACTTGTCTTTATTTGGATGAAAAAAGTATCCATTTATCTAAAATACAAGTCGAGATATTTACGAAAGAAGGAAGTGGGGTCACCTGTTTTCAGAGGTAAAATTAGTGAGAAAATGGCTGCCAAAGGTTAGTTATTTCCTTAGCTTTACATTTTCTGTGCCATTTATAAACGTTTTTCAGAAAAATCCACACAGAAATGAGTTCTTGAATGGGCATGAAAGGTGTTGAGCAAAAAACAAAAATTTAATAAAAATTCACAAACCTGCGAAAAAATGCAAGTTTCTTCATTTTGATTATTTTTTTCAATGAAAGCAAGGCAAATGAATAACCTGCAAGATGATACCAATAACTCAATATGCCCAAAAATTGACGAGCGCCTGATTCTACCGCGTCATGACACATATTGTTTGAGATATTCATGAATTAAGTTTTGCACCCTTGAATTATATGTGCTTTACTGTATAATTGTATATATATATACAGTCATCAGTGGTGGAAATAAGAAAATACCGGTAGGTTTGAGGATTCATATATATTATAATAATTTATATGACTGTCAAGACTGATTGACATTTCTAAGTGCTTTGCTTTGTCTTGCTTTGGTTGTCTGCAGGTTTCGCAGGAAGAAATTCTGTATCTATACATTTATGGCAGATTTGATTGACAGTGAAATCTGACAGAAATGAGCACACGTGCAGGGGATACACACACTTACAAAAATTCTCCAGAACATAAAATCAAACAAAAACTGATGGGGAAGGGGGGTGTGCATTACTTACTGGCATTCTGGTCTTTCTTTTTATCGGCTGCTTTGTCTGGCTTCTTCTTATCTTTACTGTCTTTCTTTTCCTGAAAAATACAAAAATTAAAATGTTAAGTGTAAAGGCCTCAACATCTCAATCTCTGACTAATTTAACTCTTTAACTTTACCATGTCTGGGCGGTGGCAGCGTCTGGTAGTTGAGGTCCGTAACCATGGCTGGACGGTACCACTGTCTGAGGCGAAGTTCTATATTATTGTATTATGGTATGGACCGAATATAACAAAGTACGAGCTAACAAGCCCTTAGTTTGACCTGGAAATCAAAGATAAATGAATTCTACGTCTAGATAACACTTAACTGATAAGTTTGACGCTAAACAAGCGTTTTTAAAAACGTAATAGGTGGGTCGCACTTCCACAAACAAGAGAAAATTACGTGGAAACGTGATTTTAAATTGCATGGTTAAAGAGTTGATAAAGAAGCAAGTTGAAAGAAAAATTAAGTTGAGTTTCAGACATACTGAGCCAGCCCATTATAGCCATGTTGGTGGGTGTTTGACAGGTGCTCTGGTGTGGCTTGGTCCTTCTTTTCTATCAAACATCTGTTGTTCTTATCTCTCCTCTTCCTTTTTTGTGTTTGTCACTTTCTTGCATCACCTCTAATCTTTTGCACTTATATAACTTAACAATGATGACCATGGTACCCCATTCCTTCTTGTTGTCCTCCAGAACAGCTCAGTTTTTCTGATTGTGTTGTTTATCATAAAGTTGTTCAGGTCATATATGTATGTTGTTCTGTCTCCCCTCTTTTCTTTTTTTCCCCTCCATCTTTCCACACAATAGCAGTTCTCAAGACCGTTTATAAATGTTTCTAAAGTAACAGGATATTTAATTGAAATTCTGTAAAGGAGAAAAAGGAGCGAACAACATTAAAGCATCCACTTACTATCTGCACAGGTGGTACATTATTTTTAAAAATTAAAGAATAAATCAAATTTGTAAAGAATGTGTCCGCAGACTGGTGTTTATGATGTCGTGGTTCTGTGCATTGATGCTGCTTATAGAAAACCGTATCTGTCTGTCTCAAAGCTCCAGGAGAGGGGGGAGAACAGCACAAGCAAACTGTCTCACGAGTTTCACTCCCAATCTAGTTACTCGGAGAGGTTGACATATCTATACATCCAGAAAAACATAACGATGGTGTCAGGTGCAAATGGGCCAAGTCTATGCAAAATAATTTTTCAGGAGTAGCAATAATCTGCATAAATAAAGGAATGATAAATACTTGGTTACCAGGTTTTGTTCTTATGTTTGAGGGATGTAAAGTGTTTAGTTTTAACTAGGTATTAGTACCCTATGGAAGATCTTAGTTTTAGTTTTAGTAAGAGTTTTACGGCACTTGCAACACAATAAGGTAATACTAATAAAAGCGCCGAAGATTAGAGGTGTCACAAGAGAGTAACAAACACAAAAAAGAAGGAGGAGAGATAAAGACAATACAGAAGTTCTAACAAGGAAACAAAAGTGTAATAAAAAAAAAAAAAAGAAATAGGAAATCTCCACACTTGTCCAGTTTGTAACACCACTGATATAAAACATACAACTTTTTTGTCCTCTGGATCGATGCTGCGAATGGTGGAGGGAGGTGGCACATCGCCTTTGGTGAAGATGTTGTGGTATTCAAACTCTCCTTCCAAAAACTGGTCCAGGGTGATATGGAAAGTGGCAATGGTTGTGTACGTGGCTGGGGACTTCACAAGCTCAATCTCTGGCTCTTTTTTCTTCTTCTTGTCTTTGGCGCTGTTCTGAGTGAGAGAAGAAAAAGGAAGAAGATTTGTTAAGGTTAACTGGTTAACTGGTTTCAGTCTGTGGTGTAGATTTGTGTGAATACCTCACAATTAAGCCGTGCAATGAGATCATAATAAATAATAAATAAATAGCATTTATTGTATAGCACCTGCTCTATAGCAAGCTCTATGTGCTTTACAATCTATTTTTATTACCCCAGCAGACCCTAGTACACTCAGAACTATTCTTGCTTTCCAAGGGAACATACAGTGCAAGCAGCCATTTAATAAGCCCTCAAACACTAACAAACTGACAAGATCTTTCACTGCCTTTAACTGAGTACCCATTCCCATCTTCATGAAGTGAGTAAAATTTATGTAAAGTGGTTTTTTTCCCAAGGACACAACATCAGGCTCCTGATTGCGTTTGGACCCACAACCTTTCGGTTGCAAACCAAACATTTTTCTCTCCTCTCAGGGATATAAGCTATTAACACCTCTAACCTTCAATGTATATTATTCAACATTTATGTGATCTAATTGTGTTGCAAGTGTTGTAAAACTCTTACTAAAAGCTTTTTAAAAACTTCCACTCTTAGGGATAAAATAAGCAGCAACACCTGTGGCATAGTGTTTAGCCTCCTTGCTGTCACATGACAGATATAATTATAATGGTCAGAATCTACTCAGACCAAAAATCAATAAGAGCTGAGAATGATGGGAGTGGAGGAAGTGCATCAGGCATGTGTACACACTCCAATAATACAGTGGAGTCTGCCAAACATGGATAATCTGAAAACAGCTGTAAGCCGGAAGAGATTAGAATTTTCAATTCCCCCCCCCCCCCCCCCCCCCGCTATTTAAGTAATCTTTCTAAACTGAAAAGAGGGCTTAATCGAAAAAAATCTGGCAGTCCTGTGATTTCGGTCTAAGTTGGTACCACAAACTGTGACAAACTGAAATTTAAAAGTCCTCTGATTTCATAGTTAACTGCACCACCATATAGAATTTATTATTCTGAGCATTTTGATACCAAGCTTCATTTTTAACAAAGTTATGAACATCTAAATTTGCAGAAAAACGGTTTATTTTCTAAATTGCGAAATGTAGACACTTTGAGATGTCATAACATTCTGAAGTTTGAATGGACATTCACAAAAACTTGTAAACACACACCCATGCACATAGAGAACAAGCCTAATTTTTTTCAGGGCTATCATGTAACCATAAGATGGAAATTTATTGACGTAAACATGGCTTTTCGACCTAAATGGCAAAAAATACAAGGGGCCGTGGAAAAATCACCACGTGCGACCACCAGCTTATCGGCTGCGCGCCGGGCCGCGCCGACGGGAAGGAGAAAGAATTTATACAAAACTGGGCCGCTGGTGCCCTGCTTGCGAGCTGATGGGGAGCGTCCAGTATTTGTTTTCGTATAATGGCTACGTTATTCTTGAAGAGGAATGAATAGGCTTTCTGCTATATATTTCCGTAGTCAGTCTGATCACTGGTTCCATAAAAAAACAGCATCGAAAATTTTCACACGCAAATCATTTCTATTAATTCTTTAAGGACAGTCTTTAGAAATATATCGCCGGAGAGAGCGTTTTCTCATCTTGAAATATCGATGAATCAGATTGCAGTTTTTAATACCATATGCTCCCCGTTCCTGTTTAACCGAGGTCACTTAAAAAATCGAAGAACGAAACGCGTGGTTGCTGCAGAGAAAACCTCAATAGTGTTGTTTTTTCCCCGCAAGATTTTGCTTTCAAAAGAATCGTTGATTCAAATAAATAATACCACTAAAAAGAAGAAAAGCTCCTCTTTCTTCTGATATATCAAGTGTCTGTGTGTATGCAGGATCACACTGTGTTTTACGAGGGTAAAAATATGGGATTTGGTCTCCATGACCGAGCGCCACGAGTGCGCACAGCCAGTTTGTGGTACCTAGTCTAAGCAGATTTCAGTTTACATCATTTGTCAGTGTCTGATGATGACCAATCCACAAAAAAGAATATTTCTTAAGTAAAATAAAAGAAACATGATTTTAGTTCAGTTTCAGAACGAATTTCGCCACACTTGCAACACAAGTAGATCATATGAGGGCCAAAGATTAGACGTGTAGCTATACAGTAATATACAAAGAAAAGAAGGAGGAGAGATGAGGGCAATAGGTTTATGATAGGAAAAAAGACACAAACCACATCAGAGATCACTTGCTAATAACCCACAAAGAAATGTGAAGTGTGCTGACAAAAAGAGTTACTTCTCGGATGGAAATGGATACATCACATTTAAAGGTGAAGTTTTTACAAATTATGAATATGAAATAATAAAAGGCATGTTATACTTAAAGAATACGGCATCAATAGAAAATCCACAAATTTGACCCTTACGTTGATTTTTGGCCAATATCTCCACTTGTGGATTGCGAGAAGTAGCTCATTTTGTCCGCACGTCTCACAAATAAGGATGCAGATATTCTTCAGCCATGGATTTGTTACAACACTGAGTGACTTACTTTGCCTTTTGGTGTGACCTCGGCTTTTTTCTTGTCTTTTCCATCTTTCCCATCTGTTTTCTCAGAGGAGGTATCAGGTTCTGCTGGGTACCCAAGAACCTAAACACAGGGCAGAAAATAGATGAAGATACTACTTTCATATTATGTTCTAAGAAAATGATTGTATAAAAAATCATGTTAAATGTTAGTTTTTTAATTTTTAAATATATATATTTATGACTAATAGGAGGAAATAATGTACTAAAATACTAATATCAGTAGGTAGTGAGCAAATGATCATTTCATTCAGTCAAATCTTTTTGGTTTAAGGCTAACACAAAGGAGTAAATGTACCAAAATACCAAAGTCAGATTAGGTTCTACGCAAATTATAGAATCTTTCTGTTAAGACGGGACATCCAAAGCAGTATTTGTAACCAACAGAGGCAATGGAATAGTCACACCTGGGTCCTGAGAAGAATAAGTCTATGACTAGAACAATGGCAGACATTGTTTTTCCTCAGAAAAAAATAGCAAGAAAATTTGACAAGTTTTTATATGATGCGTTGTTGCCAAATCTATCCAGACAAACAGATAAATGAACAAGATGGCTGTCACAACAAAATCAGTTCTTTCACCACTTACTCTGCTAATCCAAACAAGTGGAAAAACAACCTCCCCCCCCAAAAAAAAACAACCAATAGGGTGTCTGTCTCAAAAACATCAGTTCTCTCACCAGTTCCTCGAATAATTCAAACAAAGAAACAAATAAAGTGACTACCACAATAGCATTAATTCACCACTTGCTAAACTAGTCCAAACAAGTGAAGAAAACAAATAAAACAAATAATGTGGCTGTCACAACAGCATCAGTTCTTTCACTTTCACAACTTGCTCCGATAATCCAAACAAGCAGACAAACAAACAAACAGACAAATAAAGTGGCTGTAACAATGCCATAAACTGTCCCACTTTCACCATTTGCTCGGCTAATCCAAACAAATAGAAGCTAGACAAACAAATAAATGAAGTAGATAATATAGTAGATAGCTGTCACAACATCTACTCTCAGGAAGTCAGGCAGCTGCGTCGGTGGCCTAGTGGTTAGGCTCTCGGACTCGCAACCGTAAGGTCGTGGGTTCGAATCCCGTCAGGGGCCCGATGTTGTGTCCTTGGGAAAGGCACTTTGCACAAATTTTCCTCACTTCACCCAGGTGGAAATGGGTACCCAGCTATAGACGGTGAAAGATCTTGTCAGTTTGATAGTGTTTGAGCGCGTGAAATCCGCAGCTTGCACTGTATGCTTCCGCGGAAGCTGAAAATGTTTCTGAGTGTTCTCAGAGGGTCTGCTGGGGTAATAATAGTTGTAAAGCGCATAGAGCAAGCTCTTGAGCATGGATATGCGCTATATAAATGCAATTATTATTAAATTATTATTATTAACAAGGAAAGTGTTAAATTGGAACCCACAGGCGGGTAGAGGAACAAGGGGAAGACCACGTGTAACCTCGAGAAGAGTCATAGATATTGATGTACAGAAAAGTGGAAAGACATGGAATAACATCAAGAGGCTTGCCCAAGATAGGGAAAGAAGGAAAGTGTTTGTTCGTGGCTCGGTGAGAAAGGCAATAATGATGACGATGTCACAACATCACTTGATCTACAAATCATCGCCTCATAACTATTTTGTCCAAAGTATACTTAAGTAAAGAGGCACTTTGGACAAAATAGTTTTGAGGCAACAAAATACAAATCAAAGAGACAAACAAATAAACGAACAAGATGACTGTCACAACAGCATCATTAATTCACTCACCACTTGCTCCACAACACTGAAGTCCATGCCCTGCTTGAAGAAGTCCCTCAGACCTAGGAGATCATCCCTCGTCAGATCTGCCATCCAGTTCAGCTCCAGCTCCTCCCCCCAAGGCTGTGGCTCTGTGTTCACCGGCGCTAGCTTGATCCTCGGAGTGGGCTCAGCTTCTTCCTGGCGAGCCGTCTGCCCGTCCTCTCCCTCCCCGACCTGTGACTCATCCACAAAGTCTAGGCTGATTCCCTCAACCTCTGAACCGGGCAACACTTCTGGGTCAGGGTTTGGATTGGCTCGTGGGAAGGAAGCCACAGAATCTAAATAAATATATAAATAAATAAACGAATGAATGAATAAACAAACAAATACATTTTTTAGATAAACAAATAAATAAATAAATGAATGAATTAAGTAAACAAATAAATAAATAAATAAATACATTCTAAAAAATACGACCTCAAACAGCACAATGAGAGATAGGTCTCTTTTTTTTTTTTTTTGCAGTTTACCCAAACACCTTAAAACTAACATCAAATGTCAGTCCTTTTAAATCCAAATATAACCAGAAAGTTCTGTGTTGACATTTAAGTTGTTCCACAAGTAGCATACAGCTGCCAACTTTTTATTTAAAAAATAACCCTGACTCTACCCACACAGCAGGTCAACCCTCCGGGACCTTCACCCACATTTTCTGCACTTAATACAAATTCATGTTCAACGGTGAACTATGGTAATGGACCCAACCATACTTTATTGACCTATCGGCTTCATTCAAGTTATTAATCTCAAATTTGGTCTGGAAAGTTCATATTTTTTTACAGCATGGGCAAGTCCAGGTAATACGAAAAACAGTAAACACATATTTTTCAACACGGAAACAAGCTTCCATACTCAGACCCTCGAACACGTATTGAATACATTTTTTTACATACTAGTTGGCAGCTATAGTATTATAATAAAGAGTATCATATATAATACAAAACATCTTGATCATAAAACAAGCAAAGCAGAGCTGGAGTATTATTTATATTCTGAAACACCCCCCCCCCCCCCCCCCAATCTTCCTAGATCTCAGGAGCCGTAGGTTGTAATTGTGGGTTCTTCAACCAACAAGGCAACTAGTACTACATATATTTCTGAGGATAGCAGAGGAATGGAGAAGAAAGAGAAGAAGAAGAAGAAGAAGAAGAAGAAGAAGAAGAAGAAGAAGAAGAAGAAGAAGAAGAAGAAGAAGAAGAAGAAGAAGAAGAAGAAGAAGAAGAAGAAGAAGAAGAAGAAGAAGAAGAAGAAGAAGAAGAAGAAGAAGAAGAAGAAGAAGAAGAAGAAGAAGAAGAAGAAGAAGAAGGAGAAGGAGAAAAAGAAGAAGAATAAAAAGAAGAAGAAGAAGAAGAAGAAGAATTAGGAGAAGAAGAAGAAGAAGAAGAAGAGGAGGACGAGGAGGAGGACGAGGAGGAGGAAGAAGAAGAAGTAGAAAGGAGAAAACGAATATGATGAAGATGAATCATAATTAGAAGAACAAGAACAAGAACATGACCAACGAGAAGAACACTATAGAGTTTTCTATATTTTCAACCTCATTCTAACTGTAAAGTGCATCCTAGAGTACACAAATCACAAAGAAGTGCAAAGAGATTGTAGCAAACAGTCTTACATGATGCAGGTGGCGCCACACTCTTCACTTCAGGCCGGCTGTTGATCTGGACATTTCTCTCCAGAGGGGCTGGAGTTTCCACGGCTGACTTATTTGAAGATCCAATGCGTGTCGGTGAGTGCTGGACAGATAGTCAGAAAAAGAAAAGTCAAGTTATTAGTGATTGCTAGTCAGTCTTTTCTCTCTCGATTTAGCCGGAGTTAAGAGGATTGTTCATTCAAAATAAACATTTTCTAAACTTTCAGAAGCTTCCCAAATAAAGTATGGCCTTTTGTGTCTTGGCATCGATTTTAACTCTTTATCTCCGAGGAGGGTACACTCACTATGCTAGGGTCCTCTTTTGGTACGAAATCTACAAAGGACATATACGTCACTAAACTGGTCATTAAATCAAAACAAGTGAACCTATTTGATCGTTCATCATTTAATGAATGAACTCCCGGTAAAAGAAACTTTGGCAATTGCCAAAAAGTAATTTGACGTCAAAGTCACTGTTAAGGAATGTGCCTGAGCCACTGCCAGCGGCTCACAGGCACAGCAGTTCCAACTTTGAGCCACTGGGAGCAGCTTGCCGGAGATAAAGAGTTAAAGTGGTATGCACGATACAACTATGCCTGAGTGGAGACATAGAGGTAATAAACTGCCAAACTACTACTTTCCTCTCTTCAGACCCTGACTTCTTACTGTTATCAATAGTGGTGATGCTATTGACTCAATTGTTTTTCAAGTTCTCACAAGCCCATAATTAGGGTTGCCCTCGAAACACAAATGAAAAGAAACCAAATTATGCTCTGCCTTTTGTGAGCAAACATGATGATAGCCTTTTAGTACCCAGAAGGCGTTTCTACCGTGTACACAGCCAATTCAGTTATCATATTTTTCAGCACTACAAACTTACCTATAACTCTGCCTTTTAAAACATCTTTTTGCATAAAATTAATTATACACTGTGTAGAAATGAATAATCCATGCCATAAACATTCAGTATGGTTATAGATCAAACTAGCTGGGCCCCCTTTCGATGAAAGGAATGATCGGTGCATTAACGTCAGCCCAAAGTCACTGGCTTATGTCTATATTTACATTCTACTGGAATGGAGCAATAAATCTTGAGAGATGCAAAAATTAGAAGGTTTAGATCTATACTCTCAAAACAGTGCACGGAAACCTCCTTTTCTAAAATTACAGAGACAGAAGCGTCGGCCTACAAAAGCCAATGGCGAAATAAAGAAATTTAGCTTTTAGCAGCAAAATTGTCTCAAAACTGAAAAAAAGAAGGGCGTCATGATCTGGAGAATATTTTAAAGAATTTTTTGGCGAAAACTGCATGTCGATCGATGCAGCCATTAAAAAGCCTTTTGAATAGCAAAATTCGGCCAACACAAATAGTTAATAGATGTATTTGCTGGGGTTTTGTAGAGTTTTGTTAAGACTGAAAACAACAGAGCAATGCTGCGCACCAGCTGTACTGTACTGGCTCGCCATAAACTAAGAGTTAAATGCAATAAGAGACAAAAGAGGATTTTTGGACAAAGACAAACTTATTGCAAATTTAATTTTGTTTTCAAACCTCCATGTGTCTGACAGACGGAATATTTGTTGTTACCACTGTTAGAGTATTATTTTTTGCATTTTGAACAAAGGCTTTTTGCCTCAAACAACATTAAGCTATATTCATTTAGGTGAATTTGGCAAAACTAATTGAAATGACAAAGGCATTTTATTGTATAAATACCATTGCATATTTTCTTTCATAATTGAGAGCTGTTCCCAGAGCACAATCCTTTAATTTGGTTTAAATCTCATTTTTCATATCAGAGTTTGGATATTTTTGTCATTTGACAATTCAATTAAAGTCTATCTGTGGCAATTCAAACTAGTGAGTTGTATACCTATATAAATCATTAATTTGCTTCATTTGTTTATGCTAAGACTTTTAGTTTGGTCGCCAGGTTTTTTGAAGCGCCAAAGGTTGTCTCCCCCCTCACCTCCGAGGGATCGTCCTGATGCTCTCCAGCAGCTGCCGCAGCCTCCATCTCCAAGGCCGTCAGGTCTGCCATGTCGTCGACTGCACCGTCGTCCTCGGCTGGCCGGACCTCAGGCTCCTCGGGAAACATGAACTGTACAAAGTACGTCCTCTCCACCACGGGGAACTCAGGTTGACCCTCCGGGTTCTGTCAAGGTCAGAGGTCAAAGAGCGAGTGAGGCAGAGAAACTTTGACAGACAGACTTTAGTGGGACTATTGAAACACATTAATTTGATCTTAGTTACAGTTAAACAACACTGAAACACAAATACAGACTACCCAATCATAAATAGGAGTTTTCCTCAAAATCCTCCGAAAAATAGGAGTCTGGAGAAAAAAAACATGGTTTTCATTTGGGTACTCTCTTTTTCTTTAACATTCTCAAAACTTTTTAAAAACTGACTTAGGCATTGACAAAATACAAGATTAGAAAGGAAAAGTCTCAGAAAAAAAGAAAATAACATCTCTGCAACCACTGGACTGTTGGCTGGCCCTCACGGTTATATATATCAAAGTCAAATAGCTAGTGGTGAAGTGTAATTCTGATCTATTGTAGTGTTATTCATGTGAAAAGAATTCATGTGAAAAGAAATTAATAGACTTTGGAAAAAGTAACATCTCAACAACCAGCAGACAAAAAAAATAAATAATACAACTACGGAAAGGGAAAGTCTAAGGAATAAAAAATATATTTGTGATTTGTGCACAAAGAACATACCCATACATGGTATTAAAATTTTTAAGTTTTAAAAAAAAAACCAGTACCTTTATTACTTACCTTTATCTCTTCTGGGCAGGGAAGGCCTTTGATGTAACTGACAGAAATCTGGACTCTGGCCTCATCAAGAATGAATTCTGAAACAAAAGCAGAAAAACAAGTATGAACATTTCTGAACTTACAGGCCAGAAGCTCACATTATATTACGCAAAACAACAACCACAGTTTTGTCAAAATTCTCTCGCACAAATGGACAAAATTTATCATATCAAGAAATGTGAAACATAGTACATATATTCATAAAGCCTTCTCTTTTTTAGCAGAAACATTGAATCATTTGTTTTAACTTTATCAAAATGTGCAGACATTTAGATTAGAATCACAAAAATTACAGAAGGTCTCCTTTTATCTGTTATGTTAGGGTCATAAAGGTCACACATCATGATACCTCTCCTCCTAGACAAGCCCTTGAAATGATGTTTCTCGTCAGCTGAGATATGAATATCATCCATTACGCTGAGTCGCCGCAGACTGTCGATTGTGTAGCCACGGTAACCTGGGATCAGCTATGTTTAAGAAAAAAAAATTATGCTAGTTTGTACACAGCAAAATAAATACGTGTATACTGCATAAAAGCTAGGCTAAATCAATCACATCAAAATAAAGAATCAAAGTTGTCATTTGAGGCACATTATTGAGTTACAAAGTTGAACTACCATGTGTAAATTATGAGGAACCCACCCTAATAATATGATGTTTTCATGTAAAAAACAATTCTAAAGATACAACATCACTTCCAGTTAGGTAGCTTTTTGAATTATACACAGACTCTATTATTATCGCCCCCATCAACAACTGCAATAACAACAGGATAATAATATTTGACATTTATATAGCCTTTAACCCAGAGTAAAAAAATACAGGCTTTGACAGCTTTACATACACAAGTAACAACACATTAACAGTACATTTTATTATGACTAATCTCTTTAATCTAAAAACAGAAATAACTTCGGCTGACTTTTGAATGAATTATAAAAGTAGGCTGATAAAAGATTTGACGTTTCTTAAATTACCAGTCAGTGTGTTCCAGATAACATACCAGCTTCAAGAAGTCATTACAAAAACATGTACACTCACAGACAGAGGATTCCCTTGCAGAATTAAGTTCCTCAGTCGAGGCAGAGTGGTCATCTTTCTCACAATGTCCATAAGGTCACAGAGGTCATTGTGGCTCAGATCAAGGGACAGGAGATTTGGCCTGCGGGAATACTATGTGCAATGGCAAACCACAGGATTTTTTTTTGTTTGAGTTATTTTTACAATTCATGTTTACGCTGTTGCTGCAGTTTTCATGGTTTTGTTTTTACTGGTGTTTTAATATGCATAGATCTATTGTATAAAGATAAAATTTAGTTGTGGCTTTTCTTCTCGTAAGTTGCTAACATGATAACAGTCAAATAAGATACTGATTGTTAACCTTTTTATAACCAGCACCCACTTTCAGGGGCAAACATTTTTTTTACAGCATGTATGAAGTGTGTCGGAAAAGTTCCAGGACTGATGTGTCACAAAAGATTTATTTCAAACCCTCTAAATCATGAAAATGCCTGTGACGCCGGAACTGCAGAAGATCCAGGAAGAATCCTTCCTGGAGTGTATGTGTTCCCCACAATTTACCAATCTGCGCAATCTTAGGCTGCGCGTTTTAACGATTGTATAATTGCGCTGCAATCTTAAGATTTCCCTGCGTGTTTTAACAATTGTATAATTGTACCATTTTTGTGAGCACTTCGGTTTCATATCTTAATTTTAATAGTAAGTTAATATTTTTACACTTTTGAAAATATATGTGAATGTTCCTTGATGTGAGTAAAAGAATAAAGATAGAAGTGAATTTTTTAAAATATTTTTTTTTTTTAAGTTTTAAAATTTCATGTACTTTGTGAACTTTTGAATTTGATACCTGGCATATTGTATCATTCTTTTGAGCTCCTTAGTTTCAAAAGCTCATTTTAATTTTAATTTTCATAGTTTTTACACTTTTGAAAATATATGTGAATGTTCCTTGATGTCAGTAAAAGAATAAAGATGGAAGTGAATTTTTTTTTTATTATTTAAAAAAATATATAATGAATTAAATGTACTTTGAAAACTTTGAGTTTGATACCTGGCATTTTATCATTCTTGTGAGCTCTTCAGTTTCATATGTTAATTTTTATTTTAATTTTAACTCATTCGCTACGTATTATTTTGGGCTTGTGAACAAATTTTTTTCAGGAGGTCAAAATGAGATGATGACTAGTGCACATTTCAAAGGTCTTTGGGGCCACAAATTCAAATAAATATCACAATATTGCACACCGAAATTTTCAGTATGATTAGTAGAATACATCTGTGTCATTTTCAACTTTGGTTCCTGTAAGAGACGATTATGCAGCACAATTTTGCTTGGATGCAGATAAAATTTGAAAATAAAAAATTAATCATCTTTGCTGAAACTCAAAAAATATGTTTACACCTAGTCAAATGATACATAAAAATAAATGGATATAGAACTGAAAAATATTGAACATTTTGCAGTTATTTACATACATTCCACATAACATCCGAAATTTAAAATAAAAACAACTATAATCTTGAAAAAAGAACAATTTTAAGATGTATTCACAAACAGAGAAAACAAACACACCTATATATTATATGGATTTATTCAGAATTGCATTTGGAATTAACTTACACATGAGTGGTACTTTTGTATCATTTAACCATAAAATAGTGATTTTGGGAATAAAAAACATATTTTGACAACTTAGATCTAGATCTAGATACTAGCATTGAAAAATATTGATTTCTCAACAACAGAGCAATAGCAATTTTAGTCCATTTTTCAAATATAGTATTCTAAAGAAGAGTCCTACATTTCTTTAGTAAGCAAAATAATGATACATTTTGTTGTGCAAAAGTACTAAGACTGGTGTCTGGGATAAAATTTGAGCATCACGATAAAACAAAGTCTCATAAACTTTGAAATCCTGTTTCAAAACTGAATCAAAACTTCCGATTTTCAGTGGAAACGCTTGACCCGTAAGTCAATGTTATATTGTAATCTTTTTTTAACATGGATATGTGGATTTAAATAAAAATCTAAGCTAGAATTATAGGTCAATTCTTGAGCCGTCGGGGGCAGCTTGCCATAGTGAAGTCACTTTTGCCGCACCGCTGCCCACAGCTCAGTGTAGCAAATGAGTTAAGTTTCATATTTTTACACTTTTGAAAATGTGGGTGAATGTTCCTTGATGTGAGTAAAAGAATAAAGATGGAAGTGAATTTTTTTTAAAGAATTATTTAAAATATATAAAATATTAACACAATTTTCAGATTGCAGCACAATTATACGATCATTAAAACGCACAGCGCAATCTTAAGATATCAACGTAATCTCAAGATTGCTGCATAATTATACGATCGGTAAACAGGGCGGAAAACTATGCAAGCCGGGCACAGAAAGATGGGAAAGTGCATCAGACTCCAGGGAGAATACTTTGAAGGGGAAAAACTCCAATTGTGAAGTTTGAGTTTGAAATAAATCTTTGGTGACATCAGTCCTGGAACTTTCTGACACACCTCGTAATTCTAAGCAGGGCATAATACCTGTCACTACTTGGGTGATCCCCACTGTCCACCAAAATGACCAAACTGGCCACTAGTGGGTGATATGAGCCATGTGGATATGCACTGATTTAGTGAGTATGACTGACCCTCAAAATTTGGATATGTCCTTACCAAAAGTCCCCTGTAATGTAATCCCCGATGAAAGAGATTTTATTGTGGCCAATGCCCAAGTGATGGAGCAAAGGAGGACGCACACACAGGCCAGAGACATCGCTAATCTGATTTGCACAAAGCTCCAGCACCTGAAAGGTTTGAAAAAAGCATGTAAAAATGTAATATAGAAGAAAATATCTTTAAAGTAGATGCTGACATGATTTCTTTCTGAAAAAAAGAATCCCACATACTTTTATGACTTTTGGTCGGTAAAGACACTTGACAGTCTTTCCTCTCTACTTCCAGAAGTGAATAAAGTACTTCAAACACCATCATCACCATTAGCTTTTATCAATCCTAAAGGAAAAAAGCACAAAAATAAGATCCCTCAAAGGGTCTTTGTAGTAAGACTTCTTCTCCAGCTCCCCCCATGTCAGTTCAAGTCTTTCAAAGTCTGCCTTTCTGGCTCTCGCCTGTTCATTTTCATCTGACAGCGTTTAAAAAATTCTAGCTCATACTTACAGCCACAAAATTTTTCATGGCATTTCTGCAGGCCAGCTACCAAACAAAAATTATTTTTAAAAAATCTTGATCTAGTTATAAAAAAGTTTTTCTCTTTGGGCCCTATATTAAAAACCATTCTTTGGATGCATACACAGGATCACTAAAATAAATGACTTACTGTAACCTTGATTACAAATTGCTCATTTTGAGACAGTGACACTACTCTGCCCCCCACATTTTACATGTAAGCTTGTAGACTTAATTATCCAGCTGTCTAGACGTCTCCATGTGAGTTTAGAAAATTACTCACCCAGTCTCTTGAATCATGTTTCTTAGATGTACGTTAAAGTGTGGTGTTGAGGAAAATATGTCAACCTTTTTATTATGTTTTGGTGTATGCTGTAAATGCCCTATTATTTTTTTAATCCACTTCTGGGATACATCAGAGAAAAGGTGCCGGAACCTTAGTTTGCAGTGACCTAATGAATGGGCTTTTAGATTCTGTTGGTCATTCAACTTTTAGACCTAGGGATTTTTATCACTTTTTGAAAAACTGAAAAAAATACTAAATTTCACTATATCCTACCCAAATTTGGTACACAATTTATTCAAACCTTTATTTGTGTGTATTGAAAATTAGAAGGCAAAATATGTCATAGTTTATACGCAATACTCCATAGAAAAAGGTCTATATATAGAAAGTCAAAAAGTAAACAGAAAGCGGAGAAAGGAAGTGCGTTCAAATTTCGCACCCCCTCACATGGTTCACGAATATAGCTTTCTTCATTCAAAATTTGGGCTTGCACTTCTGATCATAGTCTGTTTGAAACGAAAAATGGTTACTGTTTTCAGTCGTGAGAGCGAAATTTTCCATACCGATACTGTCCGCGTTAGGGTTGGAGCTTTGTGCACGCATACCTATATTATCAGCGTTAGGGCCGGGTGAGTTAAACAGAGCGATTTCATTTTCTTAAATAAGAAACAAGATATCTTCACAGAAATACTACAAAAACGGCTGCCATATATGTTATCATGAGAGCAATAGATCTGAAACTCTTTTGTCTAGATGGGCTCTTAAGCTAATTAAGTCTAAAACTCATCCATTCTTTGCCAATAGATAATAAGGTTCATCTGTACACTAAGCCAGTGTTTGTGTCTAAATATTCACAAAATAAACACTCCCTCAACATGAAGGTGCGTGTGATGCCAAAAATGTGCTGAAGATAGTGAACAAACTTACCCTCAAAGAAGGAGGCAAATTCTTTGAATTGACATTAGTAATGAAATTTGCACTGAGAGTAAGCTCCTCCAGATTCTTTAACATTAGCAAATCATGATCCACTTCTGAAACCTGAAATACAGATGAAAACCCCTCAAACACAGAAAAAAACCCCAACATGTATGACATAGCTCAAACAAAAAGAAATCAAGGATGTTATATTATACAAATTATTACCCCCATGAGAAACAATATGCAGGGACAGTTACATCCAAGAAGTGATGAAATATCCTTTTACCAATAATCTTTTTAAACAGTCAGAAAATGTCAGTGGGAAAAAGCTTATTCCTTTGTGAAAGCCATGAATCTGAGCCAAAGTGTGAAAAAAACAACAACTGAGATGGTATACCAAGAAACAGTAGCATATATAAAATAGGTTCAAATCCAATTGCTGATGTTTGAAATATCATCAAGTCTCTTTTTATTTTTTCAAAAATGAGAGTAGATTTGAAGGGTATACTTTCCTTGTAATGAATTAAATATGATCAGTCTCTAAGGCAAAATTTTGGCCAAGGATACAAGACTGAGTTCAGTGTATAAAAATTAATTAGAAGATTGCAGAATATGTTCAACAAACTTCACTGATTCTAACACAACAATTTTAGACAATGAAACATTCTGATATAATCAGAAGCCGGTCAAATTCGCTCTCTGTTATTGTAACTCTGGCTCCATGTCTTTTAATCCCTGCCTGTCTCTTTCTCTCTCTTTCACTTTAATACCCTCCTTTCTTGTGTTTCTCTTCCTTCTTTAATGTGTCTATTTCCACAGTTTTTCATTATGTATGTTCAAATATCAAACCATCTGCCCGATATTATTAGTCTTTATTTGGCTTTAGGTGGTTTGCCCGTGATTGTAACCAAACAAAAATTCACAGACAAATGAATATATATCGAAAAGTGAAATTAAATAGAAAATGTAATCATGTAAAGAGCTCAAATCTATTTTTCTCACATTTTTGTCAACAATCCTTAAAGTCTTAAAGTAGTTTAAGACAAAATTTTGGTCAATGAGCCATGGGGACTTCACAGCAATTTCCCTGAGTTTCTTTGCCTCTTCACTCCAGCTGTAGTCCAGATGCCAAGGAGAAAAATGGGAGCTGACAAGTTCTTGTAAAGATTCGCTTTTTTCTTTCTGGGCATGGGCTGAGAAAAAAAATATGTTTCATGATAACAAAATGGAAGGAGAGAAAACCAGATATAAATATGTGAAGGACTAAAGTAATGGAAATTTAAGTTTGTTAAATGTCACAAACTATGTCACAGAAAGAGTCCAACATTTTCTGAAAATATTTTCAAATATCGTTGATGTCCCAGTTCAGTCTCTGTTAGTTCACTAAACTTAATGATGAAGGTATCACGCTTTCAGAATATGCTGTTCATTTCTCTGCTGCTGATTTCAGTTCAGACTTCAAAACACACATTAACACTTTGCGGTCACTTGGCGCAATAATACGCGGGTGGAAATTGTCCGTTCCGGTCACCTGGCCCAGTTTAATGCCTGCCCGAGAAGTCCGTTGTAGTTGCTCTCCTGGCTGGGTGACCACATGGGGTATTTTGTACTGCAGGCTGTGTGACAGCAAAGTGTTAAGACGGGCAGATGCAATCTTTAAAAATCATCATCATCAGTGCCTTTCTCACTCTGAACCAAAGTATAGGCCATGAACGAACACTTTTCATATTTCCCTATTCCAGGCTAGCCTCTAGACTTTATTCCACATCTTCCCACTTTTCTGGACATCATTCTCTGTGACTTTTCTCCAGGTTCCACACGGCCTTCTCCTTGATCTCATGGACATTGTAAACTTACTAATTTTATTAAAAAGAAGCTAGCGTAAAAAATTTCTGGTAATTACTTTTTATAGAGTCCAAGGAATCCGTGTCACTTTTTTGCTGATGCTGCAGGGGTTTAACTCTGAGGCGACCTCTTCTGGTAGGTCTGTATTGCTGTGCATCTGGCCCTGGTTCACGCTGAAATTTAGCACAAGATAATAAGGAAAGATTATATGAACATCATAATTTGTAGCTGAGGCATATTAATGCAGCCAGGGCTGTCCAGGAAGTCTTTCCAGGACTTCAGACTTTGCTCATAAAAAAACAAAGTGCTTTTGATTTATACAGACACATCAAGCCTTCTTTTTGCTTTGTTTTGAGGTTTTCAGAAACATGATTACCCTTGTCCCACACATACATACCAACTTTCCATTCATTTAGCAATGTGTTAGAGCTTATCTTCTCTACAAAAGAAACTATCTCATACCGATCACCATTCTAAATTAATTAACTGCTAATATTTAATAACATCCGCCTGTGCTTCTTCATCTAAAGAGATTTTTCTGTTTGACAAAAGTCTGACCCGTTACATTGGCACTGATGTATCAGTTAAATAAACTAGAAATACCACATAAACGCACAGGCACAGCAAAAACACAGTAGACTCACCACAACAAAGGGTAACTCCAGGAACATGCTAATTTCTATATCAGCCACGTATAACACATATTATTATTAATATATGTAGAAGAATTTAGGGTATTCACTGTAGAAAATTTTTGGCCGGATATCTTTTGAGTGACTTTTGAATTTTTATTGAAGAAAGAGGATTGGTCAGTAGCAAGTCTAAGCTGTACCATCATTTTTCAACCCTCTTTATTCGGAGGGGCTGCAAATTTGGAAGCCAGTGAGAAGAGAAATTGATCTTCACATCACAGCTACTTTGTAAATATTGTGTTTGAATACCATATACCAACATCATCACGGATAGGTTAAATTATATATAATATAAGAAACTATTTACTGAAGTTTCTCACAAACAAAAGCAACTTAGAAAAATAACACTGACATTATTTCTATTTTTTGTGAGGCCTAAAAGCCAGAGAGGGAAACGCTACCGTAAGCAGCAAATGCTTGCTGCCATCTTGCTGCGGCATTATGGCTGCGTAAAGCCTAGAGCTGCTGGCTGGACAGTTATTTTAATCAACCTGATTACCAAGGAAAACACTGTACTCATTGACTGAGATGTGTAAATCAATTACCAAAATAAACAATTGGGCTTGATCTCTGTTTTACACATTAATACCTGTTAAAAGCAATAAAACAATGACAATGACAATCGTCAAAGTCGTCATTTTTTATTGCCCTGTTGAGGTATTTTCTACAAAATACCCATAGTTTCTGACCTGTAAACTGCCGTAATCTTTTTTATTAATGGGTCCATTAAAAAAAAATCCTTTTGCTTTAGAAAAGTTTTTATATTTCTATAAGCCTATGTATGATACGTTAATATGTGAGTATACCTATCTCTTAATAAAAAGCTGTGGTATTGCTATTTAATCTCAGCTTACAGTGAATTTTTAAAAACATCCAACTAAGCACACACAAACCATATCTTATGGCCCATCAAACTGACGGTTAAAAAATAATCTATCAGATGGTGATACAATATTGAAGATTTATTCCAATTATGTTACTTTGGAGTTTCTAAAAGTGATTATGCAATATCGAAGGTGTCATGTGAAATCACCAATTTTGCAGGTTTGAAAGGTCATATCTAAAAAAGTACAACAACAGCATCATTCAAACTTCACAGGTCGGTTGTCTCAAGTAATGCAAAAAAATGCTGAAAGTTATGTATGTGTACCCAATATAGAAGTGAAAATATGAGACATATACTGAAGTCAGGGTAGCCCTTTTTCCCCCCATATTTACATTTCGAAGGGTCAAAAAGAGCACTGAAATGACTAAAAAATCGTCTCTCAGTGCTATATTTTCTTTTGTACCTGCTAACAGGAAGTCTATTCTATTATTGAGAAAACGTGTATCGGCCGAGAACTTTGTGTCCTTTTTTGTTGTTTAGTATGGGGTTTTGCGGCGCTCGCAACCGCATAAGGTCATATGAACGCGCGAAAAACAACTTAGTTTTGTTCACAACAGTTCACTGTACAGCTGGCCTGGGTCAGTAGTTAGATTTTAAAATGTTAAAATGTTTAAAAATCAGTGCAAATATTTATATATTTTCAATCTAAAACAATTTTCCTAGATAACACAAAAATTTTAAATAGTACAATTTCACTTTTTAATTTGCCATAAAAGCCAATGGCCTTCATAAAATTCAAAATTCTGTTGGGACCAACGACGGAAAAAATGTCTTGCAATTTCTCGCATTTATAATATTTCCTTTGGATCTCTCCAAAGTCTAGACATTCGGTTAAGATGTGTCTAAAGTTAAAATCTGTGTCGCATCCAACACAGAGCGGCTTCTCATCTCCCTGTTGGAGGTATTTGTGGGTCAGGGCCGTGTGTCCGATGAGCAATCGAGTAAAAATTTGGAGAGGTCCGAAGGATTTTGCTGTTCAAGTTTGGTTTTTATATTATACAGTTTGTTATTTTCCTGTTTTTTCCAGTGGCTCCCCCACAAATTGGAGGTGTACTTTTTTATTTTATTTTTAAAGTCAGTCTGTGGGAGAGTGTTTGTTGTTGATCCCAACAGAAGGGGTGAGGCTTTCTTCGCCAGGTCGTCTACCTGCTCGTTTCCTTGGATGCCCACATGGCTAGATATCCATGCGAACATGATATTTTTTCCTGTTTCAGATAGGGAGTGGATTTTCTGTTGTAGCCTAACTATTATTGGGTGTAGGAGTGTGTAGTTTGTGAGTGAGGTGATGCAAGACAGAGAGTCAGAAAGGATAAGGAAAGATTTGTTAGGAGAATTTTCTACGGAGTGCAGTGCCAAGTCAATGGCAGTAGCCTCCGCAGAGAAAATGGAGGCTTCAGGATGGAGTCTCCTCTGGTGTGAACTGTTGGAAGATAAGGCCGTGGCGCCCACTTCATTGTCTTTTTTGGAGCCATCCGTGAAGATGAGCTCCGCACCAGGGTATTTATCTATTAGTTTTTTGTATTCTGCTTTATAAGTTTTGGTGTCTGTGCTTTCTTTGCTGTGTGTGGTCAATTGTAAGTCTACTTTCGCCTTGGTGAGGTGCCATGGAGGGAGGTCGGGGAAAAGAAATTGTTGCATGTCTTGTTTGGAAAAGTGTAAGTTTTTTAGGTCCTCAAGGACTCTGAGACCGAAGGGTTTGATGAGTTTTTCGTTGTTTTGGAATTCGTTTCAGGTTTCTGGGTTTGTTTTAAAAATGTAATTGTGCGCTGGATTTTCTGGTGTGGAGCTCTGTTTAACTGCGTATTGTAGTGAGAGCTGTGTTCGTCTGAGTGAGAGTGGTGGTATGTTGGCCTCGGCCTGGAGGGTCTCCACCGGGGAAGTGCGGAAAGCCTCCAGAGCGAGGTGGAGTCCCTGGTCTTGTACTGGGTCTAGCATTTTCAGGATGTGTGGTTTTGCCGATCCGTAGACTTGACACCCATAGTCAAGCCTGGACCGGACAAGGGAGATGTACAAGTGGAGAAGGTGTTTTGAGTCCCCGCCCCACTCCGGTTCCAATAGAATTTTCAAAGCGTTTAGCGCTTTCAGGCACCTCACACGAAGGTCTTTGATGTGTGGTATGAATGTGAGTTTTTTGTCAAATATAACGCAGAGGAAACAAGCTTGGTCCTGGACAAAAATCTTCTCCCCGTATAGTGTCAAATCCGGCTGCAGCACATGTCTGCCTGTTCGGTAGAAGTGTACTGCAACTGTCTTTGACGGGGAGAACTTGAAACCGTTATTGTTTGCCAACTTTTGGAGTTTGTGCAGTTGCGTTTGCAGCTGCCTTTCCATAGATCTCAGATGAGGATTTTTCGAACACCAGCATATCAAAAAGTCGTCAACGTATAACGAGCTGTCTATGCTGTTTTGGAGGGTTTTTACGATGGAATCTACTTTTATTTCGAATAGGAGAGGAGAAAGGATGCTCCCCTGGGGGACTCCTTCTTTCTGTTGGTGGGGGTCTGAAAGGGAGGATCCGACACGAACCTGGAAGGAACGGTTCTTCAGGAAGTTGCCAATGATGGCAGGGAGGTGACCGCATATGCTGAGTGCGTGCAGGTCTCGAAGAATGCCGCACTTCCGGGTTGTGTCGAAGGCTTTTTCTAGGTCGAAAAAGATGGCGATCATATGGCCTCCTTCAGCAAGCGCTTCGCGTATAAAGGTCTCCAGGCGGACCAGGTGATCCAGAGTGGATCGTGTTTTCCTGAATCCGCACTGGAGACCGCTCAGTGAGCCCGTCTTTTCCAGAAACCACATGAGTCGCCTGTGAATCATTTTTTCAATAAGTTTGCACAGACAGCTCGTTAGTGCTATTGGTCTGTAATTGGATGGGTGTGTGTGGTCTTTGTTTGTGTCCTTTCATTACTGGATTGGAAAAGATAGCGAACCACTCGAGTCGTATTGTGTGGCTCTCGGTACAGCAAGGCCAGGTCCGTGAGCCGCAAAATGCGACTCGAGGTAGGGAAAGTGTTAAAAGACTGTTTAAAGCAGGAAAAGGTATTTTTCTACCAGTATGATGTCTTACCCCCCTGATTCATCAAAGGAAACACAACAAGCAGAGTGCTTGGATAATTCAGAAAATGCCCTAAACACGAATCAGCTTGACCCTGTAAACATAGGTTGAAAATATATTAGTGGGCCTAATTATTCCTAAATTTAGCAATGCCAATCGCCCGCTGCGCCTTGGTCCGGAAATCGGCCTCCGCGCGAGGGGTAATTTTTGGGCCGCTCGGAATCAGAAGTGACTCTCTTCTAAGTATAGTTACAGGAAAACTCGTGGACAAAAATAAATGAAACTCGGCAACCAATCAGAGGAAAGGTTAAACTAACGACATGCCAGCGTACAATCCTGAATGATTTCTAGAACCGGAGAAATTGCCGTGTTTGTGCGAATTTCCTCTGCGGTTCAAAAACTAAGCGGAGCTGCGGGTTGATCGCCGACCACACGGGCGCCCCACATGTCTTCTTTATTGCTGTAAAACTTCAGATCTCTGCGTGTAGTAGATTTTAGGTACCAACTTAAAATACCACCCATCCATTGATAAAACACTAGAGCTGGAAACTAGACCCCGCATTCCGAACGCGAGGTGCCGGCATGCAAGAGGCGCGTGATCGCTAGGCGGAATGTGATTGGCTGCCTATAACTAAATAGGTCACCGATGACTTCATCGCAGGTTTTCCTGATACCGCTTTACTGAATTTTAGAAGGGGTGATCGCGTCGCGGTAAAAACGATGTCACGCAATTCAACAAATTTCACGCAACTTTAAGATCCAAAGTAATAAAGACATCGAAAAAATGATAACAGAACTAGATTCTGCACTAAAAATCACATGAAGATGCCAAGTTTCATTCATATACTCCAATTCATTACTGACTTATGAACAGTTTTTCCTCAAAATACATAAAGACATGTCCCACATTTTGGCGATATTTGCCTATATGAAGGTCCCCCAAAATTTTGCAAACAAAACCCCCAATAACTTTATATATCAATGGATTTTAAAAATTTAAAAACCATAGTTCATAGAATTTACAATATTTTCATTTAAGCCCATTTTAAAGCAATTTGGATGAAAATTTAATTTTTCATTGTCATTGCTACTAAATTCTTAAAAATGTTTACCTCATTATTCACCCTGGGAAAAAAAAGCATTTTGAAAGCTGAAACTATTTAATGTTCTCTTCTTCTTATTCATACACGCAGAATACAAAACTTAGAGTAATATTAGTAAATGACAATTTAATTAGTTTTTAAATTTTTTAACGACTCAACGACGGACTCACCCAAGCACCAAGTCCACAAGGAAATTCTCGCAAACAAAGTGTTTTTAATTGCCTTTCGACTGCCGTAGAGGCTGGAGTTGTTACTGCTGCAGTCATTATACTGCTCACAGACCTATTAAATGCGGGAAAACTCAAATTACAATACAACACATGGGTTTGTTTTATTTTGTTTTTGATTGTCGGTGAGCGAGATTACCAGATCAACCGATCGGCCATTTTGACGCTGTTTTAATTCAACTTCCGCTGTCAAGGAGAACTTCAAAAGTATATTTTCAGGGGGATTCAAGAGTAAAACAAACATTTATTTTTTTAAAGACACATATATGTCAGTCGTAGAGCTTTTTTTAATACAGTAAAATGTCTCTTTGTATTTTAAAAATAGATTTACGTCATTACACTGTTGTAAATATACTATAAGATGTTCTAAGTATACTTTGAGTATTAGCTTCGTACGATAGGTTTTACATTTACCACACGTGTCCATTTCCTGTTTACAGTTTACAGTGTGGCAAAACCAAACTATAGTACGTTTTTACCGAAAGAAAGGTCTTACCGAAAATCGGTACTTGAAGTTCAGAAAAAAGAATGCTTCATTGTTGTCAAACGCTCTTAACGTCTTAGAGGGCTTGTTTTCTGCTGAAATGCCTCAGAAGAAATCACGGAAAAAATCTTCGGGATCAAAGAGGAAATCAAAGCGGAAAAGACGCTATTCTTCGTCATCATCGTCCAGCAGTTCTTCGTCCAGTTCATCAAGTTCTAGCACAAGTAGCAGTAGCTCAGACTCTGACAGTGGTGACACACGTAGATCTAGGACTAGTTCTCAAAGTCAAGGACGACCAAGAACTCAGAGTATCTCAACGTCGTCAGTGAGTAGCAAAGGAACCAGGAAGTCAAGAAGTTCTGTAAAAAGTTCTAAAAAGAGAAAACGAAAGAGGTAAAAAACAGATTCTTTTTTTTTTGCTTTTTCGGGAGTTCCCTCCCCGCAATTGTTATTTGCCGGTTTTAGCCCTAAGAGTAGGGGTTCAGGGGGGCATGCCCCTTTGAATCTTACCATAATTTGATGTTTTGCAGAGTTGTTAGGTTTGATATCTTAGCTCGCCGCGCATCAAACATATAGACGAGATTCTTGATCTACATCTAGAGTGGTGTCGCCGGTACGCGTGCACTTCGCGATCGTTGAACGTATTTTCCGCCATTTCCGGCTTTGTACTTTCGTTTTTAGCTATTCCATTCAAGAAACTATTGACCTATAAAATGGTCTTGCTCATAGTCGCCAGATTTCTTAAACGTTGTGTGCCGAACAGTTTTTCCAACCTAGGGTGTTGTCTTCACTGAGCGTGCATTTCTTCTCAGTGCGTGCATGGGATTCTTCACTGTGCGTGCACCCATATATACACGTTGAAAGCCAAAAGAAGAGGAATCTGATAACATTACTGCATTAAATGACCACACAGGAAGATAACAAGTCACTTTAGAAGCAAAGTAAGGCAATTTTAATTAGAATCTAAACTAATTTAATTTAGGGGGTATAAATAGTTCAAATACATAGTGAAAAAAAATCAAACAGAATTTTTCACAACTAAAATCCACATTTTCCTACTCTTCATCACTCATTCCTCTGATCTTTCCATCTTTCACACAGTCCACATGCCACCATCCATGACATTCTTCAAACTGCAACCAAATAATCTCTAAAATTGAGTCTACTTTTTTTCTTAGTATTCTACTATATATTTCATTGTGCACGCGCAGAGAAAACTCGAGTTTTTTCAGTCTTCACAACGCGTGCACCCCCCCGATCCCGAAACCCGCAATACAACTTGGCATAGAATTCGATAAAAGGTCACGTGAAACACTCAAGGAAGGAGTAGGCACATTTTTTAAGCTAGGGGGCGCGCACAGTCTATTTGAACCAATCAGAGGCAAATAGGTCATAAAAACTAGTTCACAGGTCAGCATTGAATGTCAACTTGCCACAGCTGATAAAAACACTCTCTATGGTCCCTTGTCGGCAAACGAGTGATGGAAGTAAACAAAAATGGCTGCTGCACACACTGACGCATTCAATCAAACGCAAAAACGCAATTTGAGGCTAAAAACAAAGGAAAACAAAAGTGCACGCACCGAGAAGGCGCACGCGCAGGGGCTACACCACTCTAGGCTCAAAAAAGGGGGGTGGGAACTACCGGAAAAGCACCCATTTTTGGGGGATAAGATTCATATTTTGACCATTTTAAATTATGGAAGGTATGATACTTGCAGTTGTTCTTATAATCCTGTAATCGTATGTTAGTTAATGAGCCTGGCTCTGCGTGCCACAGCACGCAAATACATTTAGGATAATCTTGGACAGTAAAAGATTTTCTTTTATGCCAACTGTAAAAGATAAGTTAATTCAATCTAGCATGCCGTACAATTAAAAATTATTTTTCCCCGTTGAGACGCGAACACCCCGAGACGAGATAACCTCGCCTTGGAATACCCCCATTGCGATGTTACAGGGGAATAGAGAGAAAAACAACCGGATGCGCGCGCCCGCCATTGCCCTATTTCAAGTGACCAATGAACGGGCGCGGAATAGTCATGCGGGGATTTGTAGGTCACATACATTTGTCACGAGAGTGAGGGGAAAATGGCCGGTCTCCGTGCGAAGCCGCTTTGGATAGGGGGGGTAGTCATGCATTTATGATCGGGTCTAAACAACTACTTGACACAGAACGTTTAAAATTGAGCACACTATAGAGGATAGATAGATCTATTACCATCTCGGCGTTGAAATTCAAACTCCTTATAGTTTTTGGTGTACACGATATGAAAGTGTTCCCGACACCGAAAGTATAGGTTAATTTATGTGTACGAACTTCAACGTCCACATATCATTAGTTTGCCCTATTTTCTGATTTGTTGCCGAGTTTCATTCGGATTGGTTCGGAAATAGAGCAGACCGAGGTTGACAAAGTTAGTCACCTACGCTTCGGCCGGGTCCACAAAATCGCCCGCAAACGGGGACCAAATTTTCGCGGCGCGGGGAAGCCCGATTGGCATTGCTATTCTATGTTTAACCTTGTTTTTCTCAAAACACATTTTTTCACCACTTTTTGCTTGCATGTATATTTTTTAAAAATATTTTCCAACACGGAGACTTGAAATTTGGCATGTAGTTAGAAAAATAGTTTGTTCTTGGATTTAGTTTTTGTAGTGTTAGTTTTTTACGTTTTGCTTTAGAATTTTTTTTCGAGCCGAAATTTTTTTTTTAAAGATTAAATTCAATATCCCCAACTTAGACAACGTCAAAAATCAAAATAGCTAGCTGCAAACAACTATCTATTTGTGATATTTTGCAAGTTACAGAATTTAAAAAAGTTAAAAACTAGAAATGGTGGCCAAAAAAATTGTCCATCCAATTTTCAAGATGGCCACCGTTTCCATGGCAACGGCTTATATGCAATCAAGTGTGTCAACAGTTGAACATGAATCTTTTGTCTCATACTTACTGCCTGTGACAAAAGTTGTTTCAGTTTGTCTTTAGATAAAAATGTTGTCCCGTAAGTATCGAGCCCCCCCCCCCCCGTAAATTTAATGTGCAAGATGGACATTTATTGTTCATAATTGATAATTATTGGGTCAACTTGCGGACCAGACTGATACTGGCCTGCTGGCTGTAGTTTGCCTTTGTCAGAAATCATTATGTCTACTTTATAGCACTTGTGGTTTGTAGGAACACTCTGTGCTGATCTCACAAATGTAGAATAAATTACAAATTTAAATACTAGCTCTTCACTTCTTCTCAACCTCTAGTACAGAGTTAAATTTTCTCCTCCCCCCCCCCCCATGAAAAGTCGTTTCTTATGCTGACCCTCCCCCCACTCCCCCACTAAATTTTTCAAAAGGTCCTCATCTTCATCCTCGTCTTCATCATCATCATCACCCCCTCCAAAAAAGAAAAAAAAGAGGAAAGCCAAGAAAAAGAAAGATAAAAAGAAGAAGAAGATTCATCCTGAGAAAGAACCAGAGCCTGAACCTGCCCCCTTAAACGGAAAACCTCCTGACAGTAAGTGCAAAATGAACTTGTGTGTGATGAATATTTCATTTTATACTTTCACTGTTTTTCCTTTGCTTTTGCTATAGGTTTTTTTGTGAAAATATTTACCTAAAGATAGTGTCAAAGCCATTTAACAAAATACATGAAGTGCTTTTTCTATTGAACCCCTTCAATGCCGTAGGTAAATAGGCCCCTGTGCCAGAGGAAAATCTCATGAACCAAGGTTGCTCAGGGGTGACCCCACTCTACCTCCCATAACTTTTTAAAAAAAAGAATATTTCCTCAGGAATTTCTGCATGTACATTTTACATTGAACCACATTTCTATTGATACAGTTTTGGGGGATTTCATTGAGAGATAGATGTAGAAAAGTTGAAGTTAGTTACATGATGCCAAAAACAAATCACCAAACAACATAAACAACACACATTCGAGTAGTGATAAACTGAGACCAAAAAAGGGGGAATACATGTTGTGTGAGTGTTTGCAGGTAAAGAGGAAGTGGCAAGAGGCTTTTTCTACCTTATACAATGCTCATACAATCCGTATATATACATGTAAGCCCATCTGTGTTTACAGCCAGTAAATTATTTTTGTGTGGTAGTTCTAATCTTCTCTTCGACCTAAAATCTGAACCTGACCCTTTCAAATTGGGGGGGGGAGGTACCTCAATAATAATTACAAGGTTTCAGCAGTAACTTCTCTTATAATTGGTATCAAAACAGCCTCTGTCACTGTCCCACAACCATAACGCTATATGGTTCAGGCCTGTAAATTTTATGGGCGCAGCAGCAAAAAGGTTAAGTGTTTTGTTATTGTAGGTCTTGATAACATTTCTTGACATGCTCAAGATTTTTCCGGTATGTTATTACTCGAGTAGTTGCTCTGGATAATTTTTTTATTCGCTCTATTACTGGATTTGTGCAATACTGTAATAAAAAGGTCTATGCATAAATTTTTTATGTAGGCAAGTAGGAGCACACAGAGTAAGACGCTTGAAATAGAAAATCAGAAGGGTTTCTTGCTGAAACATTCTCAGTTCTTTCTTTTGAAAGACTTTGTTTCACTTTATTTACAGAAAGAAAGCCTGATATGTCCATGAGATTAGAAAAATTCTGTTCTCTAATTAACATCCCTCGTAAAAAGAGTTGCTCAGCCTGAGCTGTAGTCTTGATTTTTTTGGGGGGATCATTTTTCAAACTGTTACTTTTTAAAAACAATTGTTGAGAGCACAGTCCGAAGAGCATTAAGTCCATAAAGATGATGTCACAATCCAAGAGTAACGATAACAAAAGGGGCCACAACTTAACTGTTTTGACTTATGCAGATATTGTTATACTAATATTATGCAGAACTTTTACTTGTCTTAAACAAGCAATGTGTGATTAGGTCATACCATTAAGATTTTACAGAGAAATCACTGTTCTTTTTAAAAGGAAGTTGTTAGGGGACTGTACAGTCCCCTATTGCTACCCACTGGGGCACTGTACAATCCCTTAATGCTGCTTACTTGGGGATTGCGCTGTCCCATAGCGCTGCTTAGATCTACTCTGGGACTGTGCCGTCCCCTAGTGTTCTGCACTGGAGGACTCCAAAGACATGAGATGTTTGTCGTAATAAATCTTGAACATGCATCTTCTTAACACATTCCACCCTAAGCCCAGCATTATTGACTTTTTTCTCACATTTACAAATGTTTTTCGACAAAACATAGGGGTAGGGTTAGGAAAAAGCTGATTCCGATGGAGATGTCGACGTTTTTAGATTTTCGCCTGTAAAAATGTTATTTCTCAATCTTTTTCAATTGTTTTCAAAGATTTGAAGAATATTTTTTAATTTGAAGAATCCAGGATTCTACTTTAAGTGTAGTACCCTTGAATACATTTACTGATACTGATACACATGATGTTCCTAGGTCAAAGGCAGTGGCTATATTTACGGTCCCGTAAAGAAGGTTCTCGGGGCTATTTGTACGGTCATGTAAAGATGGTATTCGGGGCTATTTTTACTGTCATTAGATTACATGAACAATTTACAGTAGTCTCCACCTAAACGCACGGTGCTCGGGAGGGCTCTTTAGCGTGTGTTTATACGGAGCATGCATTTATATGAACCTGTGAAAAGGGAGGAAAGGACGCAGTCAGCTCAAGTCCTTGATATTTGCTCCTTCTTTCCTATCAATCATCTAACATCTCTCGTCCTGATCTCTCATTCTTTTTTTTTTTTTCCTTTTTTTTTGGGTGGGTGGTTGGCGGGTGCTCTGGTGTGTTTTGCTTCTTCTTTCCTATCAAACATCTATCGTCCTTCTCTCCCCTCCTTCCTTTTTGTATTTGTTACTCTCTTGTAACACCTCTAATCTTCGGCACTTATATGACCTTATTGTGTTGCAAGTGCCGAAAAACTCTTACTACAACTAAACGTGCTGCCATCGTATTGACAAAGTGTTGCAAGAACGGACATCAGTCAGAGAAACGAAAATAGGGCCTGGGTGTGAGTAACTTTTCTTCCTGCTCGATAATTCAAAAAGTTCCCTGCCAATTTCGGTGAAACTTCAGATGAAACGAAAGAAAGGTCGGCTACACGGTTAGATACGGTTCATGCAGAGTTTGCGAGCATACTTAACAGAGGAAAAAATACTAAACTTTTGCGTGCAGGGGGTGCGTGAACCACCTCTCTGGAAAATATTGGTGCTCGTAAATACTGCGGGAAACGTTTCCAATGAGTTAACAGTGAGTTAAAGAGTTTAAAAAACTACAGTACATCAAAGTTGAAAACAGAAAACAGGTAACCTCAAAACTCCAAAAGCTAAGCTGCAACAAATTTTGACTAGTTGAAATTTCATGTCTTGAAAATGAAACTTACTTAGCATGGTAGAATCCGAAAGGAAAACCATGAGGCGTAGTGTATTGACTTAAGGTGATAATCCTCAGCTTGAGGGGAAGCCTGTTAAACATGAAGCAAACATACTTTAGTGATTGGCTGCATTGCGTTGCCTTTACTCTGTCTTTTCCATACTGGCAATCTAAACTCATAATGTTCACAAATCTTTTTCAGTCCTTACTGGACCTAAGGCTGGTCCGAAACCTAGGACAATGACACCGATGACAAAGGACGAGTGGGAACGACAACAAAGTGTCGTTCGTCGTGTCTATGATGATGAGACTGGGAGAGAAAGGTCAGCAGAAAGATGTAAAGTCTTAGGAGAAGTTGAGCTATGTGGTTTGAATGGCCCTGGTAACCAACCTCTTTCAGCGAAATATGGTCTTGTCAGATGGGGGAGAAGTAGTGAGGATGGGAAACTGATTACTGATTTGGTGAAGTCCTAGTGCATCTTGGTCATCTGCTATTAATCACTTATTGCAGGTCTATTGCACACTGTACTGCAGATCATATTTGATATAGTATGGTTTCATACGTCATTACTTTTCGAAAATATCTGTGTCTACCAGCAATAGTGTGTTTGTGTCATTAAGGTAAAGATATTTTCTTAACTTTGTTCAGTGTGATTTTCAATTTCATTTTTTCCTTTACAGATGTTTTTTTCCTGGACTTGTTTCTGTAAACTAGGAATAAAGAGGTCTTTTCTTTCTGTTCACCCTTCTCATTTAAAATGTAAGTGTTTATCACGTGACGAGCATTTAAAATATCTTATTCAATTTAATGTAAAAAAATTTTTTTTTTTTTTTGGTCACTTATCAAGTAGGTGAAATGTCATTAAAAGATCATGTCATACACTTTTGTACAGGTTGGTGAAAGGAGATGGCGAAATTCTAGAAGAAATTGTAAGCAAAGACAGGCACAAGGAAATCAATAAGGTAAGTCTTTTGAGTTTGTGACGTAAGAGTTTACTCTTTGGTAGCTGTAACTTTTGTCCCTTGTCTGTTTGAGGGGAAAGTCTGCCTTGACTGCCACAAGTTTTTTTCCCTTTGTCCTGTCCTGTCCTGTCCTGTCTGTCAGTGGGTGTCACAGAGTGGAGACAACTAAATAAATAGAAAGTTTGACTCAATTATTTTGTAAAGATGCCAAGTTTGTATTCATTTCCTCTAAAGAAGTTGGCCCATAGTGCACTCCATTACTTTCATATGTTTAGTGTAAAAGAAGGCTTTTGATTGGTCGCTTAAGATGACTCTGTATGTTTGATAGGTTAGTCGTAGTGCACAGGGTATGATATGGTGCAAGTTGATCGACAGTCTCTTGGAAAGGAGTTTTAAAAAATTGTTTGTGGAAGAAAAATGCATGAAGAAGCCACATTAGCGGGGTGTGTATGTGTATGTGTGTGTGTGTGTGTGTTTATTCTGCAAGTGACTTCTTCTAGTCCAGGTTTTCCTGTTTATGTGTGCTATGAATTTGAAATATTTCATTGATTTAAATGCATTAATAAAATGGGAAACTCTTCTCCTTTTCATTTCATTGGTTCTGAGTTTTCATTGAGTCCTAGTCTGCTGAATGCGAGTTTCACTGCACTGGTATGCATGCATGCAGTGCAAACTTTTATTGTACTTGAAACTTGATAATAATATTGTAAATTGTGTTATGTGGACTTTTTCAGACTGCAACCAAGGGGGATGGCCATTCCTATGCAAAACGAATGGGTTTGTTGTGAGTTACAGAATACTTGAATGGATCTTCCAGCACTGCTGCACAAGTCATTGAGTGGATAAATGGCAGGACGTATGTGAAGCACTGGGCTTGTTCAAAGTGCTGTTGGTTTGCTGTGATGTGCCAGTACTACATAAATTATTATCCAAGCAGCCCTTTGACTGACGTCATGTTAAGTGAACCACAAGCAACGTACAGTGGATTCCACTTGAACTGAACAAGGTTAATCCGAAAACAGCGGAGAACTGAAAGAACATAAAATTCTAGATTTTTTCTTTGTCTTGGTAAGAAGGCTATTGGTAAACCAAAATGCTCCCCTTTCTAAACCGAAAAGAATTTTTATGGTTATGTTAACAAAATCGTCAACAGCAACCATCAAGTAGTCTAGCGGAAATTATCATGTCCAACGGAGTGGGTAGCAAAACAACAGAAAAAGACATGAGAATGTGCGTGTGTCGATTGGCCGGCTAGAGAGAAGCATCGCTTCTGTACTGTTTCCCTATGTTTATCACATACATCAATGGCCCTGCACACTGTATTTAGGCCTAGTGAAGCAATGGTAGTGAATTTACATCTGTCGCGCAACCTTAGTTTGGTCATGACCTATTTTCTCTGTGAAGTTAGTTCATGTGGGCCATATATCTGAGAATGTGAGGGCATGTTGTGTGTTTTATAACATTACTGGCATTGAGTTTTTTTCATATCTCTAGACTAGTGCAGAGCATAAAACTGTGTGCTTATCTACTCTTTCCTCTGTTTTGTGTGATTGTTTGTTTGATAAATCAAGCAGGCTGACAGTGTCGAAGAGAAGCGCAGTGTTGCTCAAATTGTTACTTAAAGAGTTAGATAAGAAGAAAAACTTTCAAACAGTGAAATTCATCGCAGGCACAGCATTCCCAACTCTACGCTGTTGACAATGATAGCTATTTAAGCAACCCTCTCAAAACTGAAATCTCGGCTAAACCAAAGGAAGTCTGGTAGTCCTGCAGATTTGGGTTGAAGTGGACGCTACTGTGCGAGTACTGGAACATTATTATTCAATGTTACCATTTATCAATGTTTACTGTACATTGAAATGGGTCCTCACTCAAAGTGCTTGAATGGGAGAACTGTGGTGTACCTTTGACACTTGACTAAAAGTTCTCATTTATGCAGTAACAGCAGACATATTATATATGTTGAGTTTGCAAAATGTTTCAGGTGATGACCTATCTATAGATTGCAGGGGATGCTTTTTAAAGATTGGCCTATCTTTTACCTTGTGTGAGTTATGTGTGTATTATATATTATACATGTGCATGTTTCTCATTTTCGAAGGCGTTATGCTCTGACTGTGTAACTTGTTTCTTGAAAATTGTTTAACAAGCCAAAAAAAACCTTTGGATTTGAATTATGAAAAAAGATACCAGATATAGAAGTCATCCGACGGTACTTTATACTACAGCCTAGCACAGACATAGCAAAATTGATGGGATGCAGAAATCTTTTCATTATGTATGAATTTTGTAGGTATGTGTTATAAATGCAAAGAATTTATATATAGTATACAGTCTAGCAGCAGGCACATAGCGAAGTTGATGGGATGCAGAAATCTTTTCGTTATGTATGAATTTTTAATATGCGTGCTTTAATTTTATAAATACATAGAATAATGTATGAGGAAAAATTCGGGACCTGAAACTTAGCTAGCTATGTAAAAATTATAGACTATATATCTCATTTTCAAGGTTGTTATATAACTTGTTTCTTGAAAGTTTTTTACTCAGTTAAAAAAAAAATCCCATTTGATTTAAATGAGAGTAGATGACACTACAGTCATCCCACAGTATTGAATGCTACTTATAGTGCATGCTGACATGACCTCAGCAGTGGTTTTTGAACAACAAAAACCTGATTTTACAGTCAAGCACACACCGTAAGGAAGCACACGCGCAGCGGACAGCTGCAATTTTTCTTACACATTTAACAGTTAACACACATATCTTTTTTACTTAACTCACTTCAGACGGGTCACACAACAGTTGCGTGACCCCCGCCATGACGCTCGCGTCGGGTCTCACAAGCCCTGCGTGACCAACTTTGGAATTTTTTTTTCGCTCTACAAATCACGCACGGATCGCGAGACCCGCCTCGTACCCTTGTTTGGCCAAGCCTGAGCTACTTAGATTTCGTTTCGTATCTCTGGGGCCGGTAGTTTTTAAGTTATTGAAGGTGAAGGACAGTGACCCCAACTGTGGTTGAACAGACCGGAACTCGCGCTTTGTTTTTTTCTATACAGCTCATAGTAATCCGACAGTCGCGTCGTAGTAACGGTCGAAGAAGTCGCATGAACAAGAATCACATAATTTCGCCGTTTTCTATACTTCTGTACGTTTTACTAGTTCTAGTGTCTCAGAATATGATGTGTCTAATAGTTAGGATCCTGGATATGTACCCGAACACGGCCCGAGTCGTAGTTCTAGGGCTAGATCTAGCACTAGTACCGGTGTTGTTTTTCGCGCAACGAAATCACAACGTCGTGCCGTACATCTGTCTCATGTAATTCAGTGTATGGGTCTGAATCAATGCACAGACCAGCTTTTATATTTTCACCAAACACTTGCACATGTATACAAATCAAACCAGAACACTTTGAACTTTTATTTTTGTTGTTGCAGTGAATTTCATTCTACTTGTCACGTCTCTGGAAATTTTTCGAAATTCAAATTCATGCCAATTTTTTAAAAATCATACAAATTAAAGTATTAGACTTAGACAACTTTAGTTTTTTGTATTAGATTAAGCTTGGATGTTACTTTACTGTGTCAAAAAATGATTACAATAGGGTAATTCTGAGAGTTGTGGTGATTTATTGAAATACCCCCCAAAACGCCAGTCTTCAACGCTTGTGGCTGGTGAAAGGGCCCAGTCGCAAGTGAGTTAAAACACATCTTAGCGAAATTCTTACCCAATGGAAAAGATTTCTGTGCCTTGCTGTATGTGCATGCTAGTGAGACTTATCTATTTCTTTCTGTTACACTGTTTGGTTAGAGCAGAACACTCAGATTACTCGAAATCATCCATCCGTCGAACTGTGCGTGCGGCCCCGTTTTCATTTTTTTCTTCTTTATCTTTGTAAGAAAATTACGCGAAACTTGAACACAAACACGGAATTGTCAAACTAGTTACTCCGCCGTAGAGGTTCAAAGTCAATGTCCTTTGAAGTGCACTCGAGACAAAATAATGTTAATAGGCACGTGCCTAGGTCCTCCTAGGCCTAGTTAGTCTTGTGTAGAGCGGGTGGAAGGAGTGGTCTTTGTTGTCTTCCAAGTTTCGCAGCAGTAGTGCTTATCTTGTCAAATTGTTTATGTTTTGAAAAATTTGAAAAGGCAGCATCTGATTGATGAAGACTAGAGACTGCTCACACTGACCCGCGTAATTAAACTGTCTTGGTATCTGTAGGCTCATTACCGATCAAACTGGAAAGTGTAGCTCATCATGTTTCTCATTTTCAATGTGTCAATTTCAGATTCTGTCAAATTTCAAATTCAAGGCAACAGCATAAATCCATCCTATCTGATCTAGGACAATGGTCGAAAAAAACAACCTTTGTTCCTGTTCCGACCCAATCTTTGTTGCTTCCCTTGATTCTCTGACACAGCCGATGCCATAACACTGTTTATGGATACTTAAAAATACAGAGACCTCTCCCGACAAATTCGAGCATTTCGCGTTATACTGTATATATATCTACATATTATTATATTGTCACAGTGTATTCTCTCATCATTTAGGCGTATATCTGTGGAGTTCTTTTGCTTGCTGAAAAATTGTCAAAAAACAGGACAGTTAGAGCATGACACCATCAAAGACCATCTGTTAGTTCAATTAGGAAAAAGCATTTTCTTTTGAAATATGTTAAGAAAAAACATGGTAGCACTTTTCTGCATAACTTATACACTTACACTTTATTATTTTTGGTTATATTTGTGACAGTTTGCTTTTTACTGGTTGCAGTGTGTGTTCTTAAGACAGTTTTTATATTAGAGAGTGCATCCTGACTTTTATAAAACGTTTCTAGCATGCGAGAATTATGAGCTGTTATTTTAACATAATCATTGTCAGGTTGTGATAGAGATCTGCTGCTGAGTGTTAATGTTATGAAAGAGATCAGTACATATATGTATGAAAAGAGTTATGAATGACTTTGTTGCTGTATCAGGTATGAAAAATATGAAATGGAAAAGGTTTAACACCTCCATCAACTGTGTCAGGTGTGATAAATAAACACTTTTTCTATTTTCATTGTTAGCTGCACTGAAATACTTTCAGTAAAACTCCCCCTCCCCCTGGTATTCCAATTACCAGTCTGAGCTATGTCATTGCGTACTGATATTTTAATGTTCATGTTTTCGTGGGTTTCATTGATTTATTCAGGAGACAGTGTTGGCTTCTCTTGCCGAAGTACATAGTCTGATTCTGTTCTGGCTGGCATGGGAGACTATCAGAGGTTTATTGTTAGATTCAAAATGGTTTCACTCCTCTGGTCCTTGGATAGTGAGAATTTGAATGTAGTCTTTTTGTTAAAGTTAAAAGAAAAAGAAAAAACCCTCCACTATTTGGGGTCCTATTTCAAGCTGCAAATGTCAAAGATATCTTATCTTTGGGGGGGGACCTCCCCAGGCTAGCTGCGTACTGTATTCAAAAGTGAAGCAAACGAGTCTAGCGTGTGCTTAACGAAATCATTGGGGCACAAAAATCATTAAGTCAATTACAAATTTCACTATGTATGTGTTTTAAAAACACAGAACATACAGTCAAATCAGTGGGACACGAAAATCTTTTAGTTAAGTACAAATTTCACTATGTGTTTTAAACACACAGAACATACTGTGTACAGTCAAACCTTGTTATACTGCCACCCTTGGGGTGATCGTGAAGGTGGGGGAATAGCAAGGCTGGCGGTCAGGGTTCCTCTGTTCAAAATAGCCCTCGGGTGCAGTATGGTGGGGTAAATTTAAGTTTTCATTTAATGACTGTACAACTCAGACAGTATTTGGGACTTGAAAATCTGCTCACTATCATGTGTGTGTTCACTATGTGCCTGCTAGATTGTATGTCAATATATAGCTGAGAACAGTATGACTTCCTTGAAGGCAAGAGATACCACAGGTGAGTTGATGTCGTCAGGAGAGTGAAAAATAGATCATCAACTCATCTGAAGTTCAACTTAACAGTTGGGATCCGTAAAGAAGAAAATGTGCTGTGACTAGTGGGACCCTACAAAAAAGATCTGGATCAATTCAAGTGGGTTCAACAGAAGTGTACTACTACAACTCTCAAATGGTAAACAGGCATTTTATTTCAAAATCGAGCTCTCAACTGCCCCCGAGGTTTAGCATGGGAACTCAAAAGAGAAAAAGTTGGATTGAAACACTGTCAAATTGATTTTAATGCCATGTGTGGAGTTCACATTCTGCACGATTCACTGCTGGTTTTATTTAGCCTTTTATTTGTCCTTGTTATTTTTTTTAAAGATTGTCATACTTTTTCTCATTATATTTTTGTTCAATGACATATGTATCCCTTAAAAATTGTATTTTTTGAAGCTCATGTTGATTGCTTGTCTTACTCTCCTACGTTTACTGTTAGGATTGGTTTTTTAAAATTAAAATGGCCAAAAAAATAAACTTTCCTTTCCCTTCCCCCATCACAAAAGTTGACTGACAATATCAGAGCACAATACAATTGTTTTTGTTTGCTTATTGCAGTCTTGTTGCTCAAACGTTCATTTTTTAAATATATGTTAATAATATAGTCTAGTTTGGAGCATTTTTTCCTTGTATTTATATTTGCCACCCTTTGCTTCTTCCTTAAACATTGTGTTGCCTGTAATAGTAATATTGTTGGTTGGTAATTGCTTTGGGCAATATGTCTTAAGGAAGGAAGACAAAAATTAAGTTTCTATGATTAAAAGGCGTATGTCAAATTCGATCCTTTGTCGTTTGTTCATTTGCAGGAGTAAAAAGCACATCATCAGTACAGTCCATGCCGGCTTTAACTTTAAGCACAGTCATCGGGAGAAAGCATAAGCATGCTTGAGTGCGAAGCAGAGTAGACATCGTCATAATCCGGTGATTTTTATGTAGAAAGTTTCCCTTTGTTCGTAATTAGTGGTCGCGCAAAAGTGTGCGCTGTCATTTTTACCGCCATGGTTTATTTCGTTTTGTGGTCAAAGGGGAAAGGAAAACTTAATTTAGACGGCCAGTCACGAAACAGCACACTAGGCCTACACACTGAATGTGCTTACCACTGCCCGCTGTGCCACATTCATACCACCCCCTTCATCCCACCTCGCGCATGATACATAATCAGGATTATCGGATAGCGATCAAGGTGCAAAGGTGAAATTGCAGCCAGCCTCCCTTTCTCTTCTCCCCGACTTAGTATTTTTTTCGTCTGTGAGTAGTTTTGCCCTAGGCTAGATCCTATGCCCATGTGCGAGGCTGTGAGCATCTCTCTACCTTCCTCTCCGCGTGTGTGTGTCTCCATCACTTGCGTTCTTCGTGTTTCTTTTAACACACTCACTGCTGCAAATATAGACTGGAGTTTGAACTTCGATGGGTCATCATGAAAGTATTGACTGAGAAGCGTGCCCGAAGCCGAAGTTTACAGTGCTTAAAGTTAAAGGCGTGTAATTTATACAGCAAAAATTCGGTAAGAGCCGTTCGGCGTGCTTCAGTCCGACATGTGTTTTATGCCGGCGTGTTTGAAGCAGGCACGGACTGTACAATAATTATTATTTCATCATCAATGCCTTTCATCCCTGGCAGGGTAAAGGCCACATACAAGCTCCTTCTATTTATCTCTGTAATCAGCCATCCTTCCAAGAGCAGAACACTTCCGAGTTCTTTGTAAGAGCCTCGACTGTATGGTCAATTCCTGAACCGGAACCCACCGATTATTCAATTGAAAAAAAACCCATTCAACACAGAGATAAAATTCAATGCTTTTCTATTTTTTTGTTTTTTGCAACATGAAGTACTGAAGTATGTGGGCCTAAAAAAATATCACAGAAGAACAAAAAAAGGAGAAAAAAAAAATAACAGCTACTGTTGATTCAATTTCAACAGCACACAGTTTCAATAAATATACAAATCCAGTTAACATTTATCTGGCTTGGCCTGTACAATGTACAATACTTACACCATGTTCTACTACATTGCTGGGATAGCAGTTTAGCTGACACAGGCCATGCGTTCCCCAAACACATAATAGGAAATGGAATTTGTTTGAGTTAATCAGAGGCACAATGACACAATAATGATCATTTAGTCCATGGAAAAGGTGAGACTGACAGACAGACAGAACAGAGAGAAAGAGAGAGAGTATTGGTAAAGAAGTAGAAAGTACCAACAAAGACTTCCTCAATGACATCCACAGGAATGGGAGCAAAAGGTGCAATGAGCTGAAAGGATGGCTCCGCGCCTCCATGACAGTCCCCAATACATAGTACACACACATAAACGGCATCACATGGGAGGTGTAGAGACCAAATATAAAACTCATAACTTTACACATCAAAAGAGTGATCAAAACATGTGTCCCTGGATCAGAAATTGAAAAAACCCCCAAAACCAACAGATCAAAATTTGATAAGCCTTTTACTTTACATTATTGCTGTCATTGCACCCTAAACTCCCTTACCCATTTCTGTGAAGCATCACTACTGACCTCAAAGGCTCAAAAGCAACACACACAGACAGACAGCAATACACATCTACAGCAACTGTCATCACAGCAATGCCAGATATTCAAATTTTTCCATGTGGTAATAATACAATCATCCATTATATGCTACATTACTATATAATATAAAACATTTGTTCATGTCATGAAAGAGACCAAGACTTTCTGTTACCACTGACAAAGACCCCAGTCTAATCTCATTCTATCACAAGTGCACGCATAGCAAACAATGGCAGTTACCATCCACAATGTTACAAGCTTGTAAATCACTCTGAAGCATGCCATATCACCTCATCAATGGAACACACAGTCTAACACGCACATAGTGAGATCGTCGGCATGTAGAAATGTTTTCATTTCTATGAAGTTTCGTTGTGCACATGTTTTAACTCACTTCAGACGGGTCACACAACAGTTGCGTGACCCCCGCCGCGACGCTCGCGACGGGTCTCACAAGCCCTGTGTGACCAACTTTTGAATTTTTTTTTCCGCTCTACAAATCACGCACGGATCGCGAGACCCGCCTCGTACCCTTGTTTGGCCAAGCCTGAGCTACTTAGACTTCGTTTCGTATCTCTGGGGCCGGTAGTTTTTAAGTTATTGAAGGTGAAGGACAGTGACCCCAACTGGGGTTGAACAGACCGAAACTCGCGCTTTGTTTTTTCTATACAGCTCATAGTAATCCGACAGTCGCGTCGTAGTAACGGTCGAAGAAGTCGCATGAACAAGAATCACATAATTACACCGTTTTTCTATACTTCTGTGCGTTTTACTAATTCTAGTGTCTCAGAATATGATGTGTCTAATAGTTAGGATCCTGGATATGTACCCGAACACGGCCCGAGTCGTAGTTCTAGGGCTAGATCTAGCACTAGTACCGGTGTTGTTTTTCGCGCAACGAAATCACAACGACGTGCCGTACATCTGTCTCATGTAATTCAGTGCATGGGTCTGAATCAATGCACAGACCAGCTTTTATATTTTCCCCAAACACTCGCACATGTATACAAATCAAACCAGAACACTTTGAACTTTTATTTTTGTTGTTGCAGTGAATTTCATTCTACTTTTCACGTCCCTGGAATTTTTTCGGAAAATCAAATTCATGCCAATTTTTAAAAAATCATACAAATTAAAGTATTAGACTTGGACAACTTTAGTTTTTTGTAATAGATTAAGCTTGAATGTTATTTTACTGAGTCAAAAAATGATTACAATAGGGTAATTCTGAGAGTTGTGGTGATTTATTGAAATACCCCCAAAAACGCCAGTCTTCAACGCTTGTGACTGGTGAAAGGGCCCAGTCGCAAGTGAGTTAACTCACTAGCTGCCAGACACTTTGTGGCTCAACATCCAAAGAATGCCAAGCTCTTTGGCACCTCTTTAAAAAAAACCCAATTGTGACCTTATTCATCACCCAACAATGAAACTTAGCAGGCAAAAGGCAACAAAACATACTGCACAATGCAAAAGAAATTCTAAAGACCCTTGATAGTTATATTTAATGATCTTTTGAAAATGCGTCAAACTTTTGAAAAAAGTTCTGTATTTTTAATGACATTACTATGAGGCCTAAATCATAACATTCACTGACACTAATCCCTTCAGCCTTTTACTAGCTTCTATTAAACTCTGAACTCGATATATATTTTGGGTCATTATCGCTGCCATCTTCTTCAGCACTAAATAATTCTAGATCTGACACTGACACGCACCATTGATTAAAAGCTAAAAAAAAGTTGCAAGATTCTTTCGCCATGGTGCCAAATTGCATTTCTCGTGGTCCAGAAAAAGTTTTAAAAAATCCAGTTATCAAGAAATATAACCCAAACAATGTTGAATCGACTCATAAAGGACAGCAGTTACATATCCCTGATACACAATGGGTAATTTACACAAAAGGAAAAAAAAAGGAAACTCGAAACCAAGGTGTTTCTGAAATGGCAGTACCCTGACTATCACTTTTGTCCAAACTGATTCCGTGCGGCAGCAAGTGAGTTAAATGCAAAGAATAAAATGTACCCAAAAAATTAAAGACTTGAAAATGGTTCCCTTTGTGCGTGCTAGAATGTATTTCTCTTTTTCTCAAGCACTCATAAATATTGCAGTTCATCATACAGACACGCTCTTTTCACAGTCACTCAAAAACTAAGATGATCCAATGATATTACAATAAATATTATGGATGGGGAACAAAAGATGTCCCACAGAACTAGATGATAAAATAAATAAGCAAACAGACTACAAAAACATCAGAATAGGACACGGTTTAAGTCAAGCACCAAGAAGCCTTTAGCGAAGAATGTTTTGTTGCACTAGTCAAAGTGCACATTGCTGCCACATACAGTAAACAAACAAATATCGTCAGTGTCCGACCTTAACCGTGTATCCAACAAATTAGGTCAAACACTTCTTTCTTCTGAAATAAATATTATATTTCAATCATAATTACAATACTATTAGTGATATTAATGATTAAAGTGCAAAAAGAATACTACACAAAATTTTGAGTTAGCCTGGAAGATATCCAGAAAAGAAATTACATTTTTCTTCTTAAGAAAGCGTTTGACTTAATTTGGCGGATACACAGTTAAGAGTCAGACATGGGCGAAATGTTTTGGCGAGATACTACCTTTAACTATATATTATGTGATGCAGTGATACATACCATAGAAGTGAAACACATACACTAGTTCACAGACCACTCATGTGGACTTCAACTCTTCCTCTCAAAGTCAAAGATCCAAAATATTCAGAACAGATTTTTTTGTGTAGAAGTAGAATAAAACTGAGCTGTTGAAAGTTCAGTTGTAAACATCTTTTTTTATTTATTTAATTATTTTTTTTTGTCCCACAACAGTGTAAACATTCAATTGTGATTTTTAATCTAAAAAATGAAGAGCGTTTAAGTGCAAGAAACATAGACATAAATATGAAAAAGTGAATTTCCCACTCATTGTCCAGTTAGGTTAGAGCAAAAACGTGTATTAACATTTTAAGGACAATTGTCAGATTCTTCATTACCTGTAAACTTTCTGGTGATTGAAGTCGCGAAAAATTACCACTTTTCAAAGAGAGAAACAAGGAAAATGTGACCCCAATCACGTTTGTTAGTCAAACGTCCTCAAGCTGGAACTCACTCCCAGACTGATGTCGTAAAATCCCACCAAACATTTGAAGAGGTTAAAGCTATGTGTATCATTTGGCTGATTTTACCACCAAAAAGTCAAATACAGTATAACACAGATGGCTCGAATTCGTTGGTAGTTTGAGGGACATCTTACAAAGATAAAGAAGAAGGAAAAAAAAAACCCTCAAAGACTTCAGGCACAGTTCGACAGAGGCGTAATTTCAAGTCTTCTGTGTTCAACCTATCCGTGTTATACTGTAGTTCACCAGCACAGAAAGATAGGAGCAAGAAGGGACAAAGTAACAAGACTCCGCACCTAGGAAAAGAAACCCACTATCATTTTTGAAGCGCTACATATACAGAAAATACTTTTCCTGCTCTTCCTTAACAGCAGTGTTGTAACTTTAGGAAAGAACTTTTTTTTTCTCTCTCTGTGGCTGAATTTATCGAGAAAAATGACATTGTTATCAGGAAAAAATGCGGTCTGACTGAATTTGGGAATTTTTTTAAAAATCGGATAGATTGGTAGGTCTGTGACATAACAATGCTACCACATGTCAGAATGCAGACTTGGCACATTTCCTCTTCACCTTACCATGAGGGAGATTACTGCAGAGCCAAACATTATTTAGTTGTTCGCTCACACAGCTGTGGAAGCTTTCCAAACTCTAGCGGGTACTCTCTCTCTCTACCAAATGGCCGAATGTTGTTGATGGCTGTCCAGGCATGAGAAGGGGGTCTACAAAACTGTGGACAGAAAACCTACACGCTTACCATCAAGATCCTATTCGACTGATGAGAATAACAATATAAATCAAGTTAACTTTGGTGCAAATCTATAAAATCGAAGTGAGTTTATAAAAGGAGACTATATCAACAAAGGCAAAAGGTGATCAGAGATGATATTGTCCATCACATTCTCATTGTACAATACATATAGCCAAAAGAAATATCTAATGTAATCTATTTAAAAATAACCGACCAAGTCACGAATAAATAAATTTCAGATATGACATGTGTGGGTATGAACTTCCTATTATCTTTTCATAAGTGCCAAAGAGCAAATTTGGAGTTGTGAGTAACAAAACATACAAAGTAAGAGCGCATCTAACCAAGACACCTCTCGGCAACTCATACTTAGTTCCTGTGATGACAAAATAATAGAGGAGTAACTATGATTATATAACTTTCAATGATACGAACAGTAAAGATGTTTATAAATCATAGGCTACTAAACAAAAAGAGATGGTAAACAGGCAAGAACCCAATGGCACTAAATTACTAAATATCTTCCCTCTCCTCTTGGCTACTCTGCAGTATTTGTCAACATGTTTCACATACACTGAGCACAAACTGCGAATGGCAAAGTTTCTTCTTGAAATGAATACTGCATTTACAGTTTATAGTCAGGAAATTTTAGTAAGTATCTTACATATCACATGCACAAGAGACTACGGATTCATCCCAAATGCCACATACATGTCAGTAAAATTATAATGTACCTGTATCAACATAAACATGCTCATTGTCTCTTTAAAATAGTACCGTACTTATTCCACAGTCTGTCCTATAAATTACTACAGTGCAACTCAGATACAACAAATTCTGACTCAGTGAAAACTCGCACACAACGAAGGGAGGATTCTGTTTTTTCTTGCTTGATTCAAACAATAAGATACCCCATATTCAATTAACATTTAAAACGGACAAACTTGGACTCGAAGCCACTTGCAAAACAAACAGCCCTCACTGATGTAGCTTCACACGTTTTTCTCCCACAATATCTACTTTATTCCGAGGGACCATCAGTTGTCCTGCACTGTCACTTATTTTATGCTTATGTGCATCCCACACTGTACACAACGACCGACCATCCACATACGCAAAGCCATCTTATGCCACCAATCGGAAGCAATCTTTCGCATCAATGCATGTTCAGGACCTGGGGTCGGGAGAGGTGTTATAGGCAGTCAGCACACGTCCTCTGTAGTCAGACTGTCAGTGTAAGGCAGGCTTAAGCATGCAGGACTTGGAAACATCAGCAGAGACATGGTCATAAAAAATTAGCCCAACTATCGAACAGATATACACATTTATCTTTGTAACGAGTTACCGGCAGATTTGCAGAACCAAACATCTGGTAGGTCAAGTCAAAACTAGCCCTACAGTATATATGCAAAGTTCACCAGCAATCCGTTATACGATACAGATGTCCACTTGGGTGAACTGTGCTTTTACACAGAACCTGTTTCGCCAACCCATTGTCTACTGTATCAATAGGGTAGTTTAGTAGTTTTCAGGATGTCTAACTAGAGGAAACTTTCGATACATCAACAAAGAAGAACATTTCTTATGTTAGGAACCAATATTTCCTCTGTATAAAATGTATGAAGTTAAATCCCCCAAAAATTGTGGTGAACATGTGTTCTCTGAACTGTCAATATTTTTGAGTCTACATATACACCAGAGCACCTGTCAACCATCCACAATGTTTTTGAAAGACAATTAGATGAGCAGAGCAGCCGTGGACCAATAAACATGTAAACTGAAAAGACAATGAACTCCTGTACTTTAAGATATTGACAAAGCAGTTCTGTGATGTGGTTCACAAGAAAGACAAAAATAGTGAAACGTATGCAAGTCCCTATTTTGTTAAGGGGCTGTGCCAAGAAAAGCAACTGCTCATACGGCAAGCAAGCACTTTGGGGCACCATTGGTTCTTTCACATTTTGTTTTGTGACATATTCAGAACAGATGTCCTTTCATCAGAAAAAAAAAAAATTGCCCACTTTAATCAACTCTTTCTTTAAACAAATACTCACGATCCAACGAACAGACAGGTTGGCCCAATGACTCTGCTATTAAATGCAAGTTTCACTGTATTTATGTATTCATTCATTTTCTCTGGGATTCAAGGCTGAAATGTTCAAATGCAGCTAAATGAAATGTCATGATTAATTGGAAAAGATATCACAATTTTTATAAACATGTTCGTAAAAAGCGGATTGTAATATCTATATATGACAATATATTAAATTCCAGATGAAAATCTCCTGCCGTATACAAAGAGAATAGTATAGTATAGCTGATATTCTTTAAAGACATTAACTTAGAAAGACCAATCGTGAATATAGGCCTAAAAATTAAATTATGTCCTCATAAGCGTTAATTAAAATCTCTTAACAAAACGAACGTTTTTACTAAATGACAGCTCATGCTTCCCTACTCCTTTGGTTTACTTGAAACTTATTAACAGAAATTTTTTTGTCAACCAAACCAATGCCTTTAGGAGTCCTGAAAAACACACAAACAACGCACTCGATGCCTCAATGACAATGTCAGAACACCACAGTTGTGTACAGGTACACATTCAAGGCCAACCTCCTGCATCCTCCTTTCCACACAGACTCAGACTACTCAGAGGTGACCCGAAATCGTACACGAGTGGTCATTTGCACAAACACTTGTCCACTCTCTCCACCCATCGTCCTTATCTCCCCTTACAAGCTCTAATCTTCTAGCGCTCATATGATCTTGTGCAGTTGCGAGCGCCGTAAAACCTCTATTAAAACTAAAAACTAAATAACCCATCCCCTCACAAGTTGCTCCATACCACATTGACACTGATATAGCTGGATTTTGAGGAAAACCCCCTGAAATTTACTAAGTTAAATTTGGTATAAAAAATGTTTTAAAAAAAAAAAATGATAGTAAATAGATCTAGTAATTATTATAAGGTAAAAAAAATGCAGAGAAAGATCCTTGTTTTTTTACCATCTCCGATTCTTTTCCAGATTAAAAAAAAATTTCTACAAAATCCAGAGACTTGTGTCGTATTCTTCAAGCAAAACAGAACCCCTAAGGTTATTCCTACCAATACTCCTTTCCTCAAGTGATGCAAACCTTTCCTTTACAGTATACATTGCAACAAAAGGGCCAATCCATGAAAAATGAAACTGCAGCAACAGGCATAAAACAGAGATGATGGCCTGCTGAAACAATTTGAAGCGGTGAAAGAGCTAGACTTTTTTGGGGGGTTATGGAGGCAACCTTCTTTGTAAAAAAAACCTCGGCCCAGAGCCCTCTACCTTTTATCTTCCTCGGAACACAAACACACTTGCACCCCACCATTGGACACTTTTCTTCAACAGTCTCACAACCACCTATCCAAGACAATCACCTATCCAAGACAATCACCTGTCCAAACAACCCCTTCCCATCTTGCTTTTTTTTTTTTCTTCTTACGTACAAGGGTCTCAACTCAGAATTTTAAAAAAAGAAGGAACTTTCCGTGTGATCGCAACAGAAGACCATTTTCGCGAGACACCCATTAGACCTATTGATATACTATTTAGCCCAAAAATGCTGAAATAAAAACCATAAATTTATCAAAGCAAGGATATTTCATACCAATTCGAGGGTTTGGAAGATAATTTTAAGTAAAAGGATCACTTACCAAACGTGATTTACAATCTTGATTATGTACAGAAAGTGGTGGCGCATTAGCGGTAGCAGAGTTTAGCAGAGGAAATGGCAGTAGCAGAAAACTGCTAAATCGAGACCCATGAAAGTATAATTACATTGCACAAGAGGGCAACCTGTCTCAGATGACCACTTTTCTCTCTATGACAATGGATGATTGTCTGCGACACAGTATAAAGTCCACCTTGCTAAACACACAAACCCCTCTTTTCCCTCACCAATCCTTAGTCACATAAACGCAAGCAAAGCATACACCCTGCTGTGAGCTTGTGCAGTTTTCAGTGAACCTGCATGCTCAGACAGTAGTAAAAAATTTATTTTTTTAAGGAATGACCTAGAACTGGCGGGCTATCTGCATCATCCAGCAAAACAGCCGGTAAAGCATAAAATTGTGGAAACAGACTTAGGCAAGTTCCTCTGTCAAAACTTAAAGTAAAGTGTCTATGCTGCAACTGTAAAATAAATCGTAAAAACAATGAGTGGGCACAAAAATAACCCTTACAAACAGTCACTGTCTTTTTACCACTTGAAAGAAAGGGATAACTGTGGTGGCACCGATGAGCTCTTAACTCACTCAATCCTGGGAGTTTTTCCCAAAACTGTACTCAGAAACCGGTCATTTTGGCACGTATGTAAGGGCCCACTGGTAACCGCAAATATCATCCAATTGCTTTGAAATTTGGCACAAAGTACACTTGAGATGGATCTTTAACAAACCAAATTTGAAGTATGTAGCGTTTGTAGCTTTGCTTTGGGGTGTTGTACAAATTTGGCATTTTTGTGGCTTTTTTTTTTCCACAGCCAAATGAGCAAGAGTAAGCCTACGATGTGACATTCAGAATATGCTTGTGAGTGTCTAGATCTATATATACCATTAATAATAAAGACTTGAATACTTTCATAAATAAAAAAAAGAAATATGTGTGAGAAAGGCAGAGAGAATCGATTGTGAGACATGCTCAGCTGATCAGTGTAAACAAGCTCAAAGTGCCTTCATAAAAAAGCGCGATTTCTCCGAGTGTAATGACAGTAGAAACAAAATTCCGGCACCCCTCTAGGCAGAATTGGCCGTGGAAATAATAAAGTATAAAGTAGCCGTACACAAAACTTGAGACCGTTTCCCGTAACGAAATAACTAGTATACGGAACAAACTATAAAACTAGCTATATTGGTCGTGGGATTGGACGCAGCCAGCGAGCTGACCGAGATATCTCAGTCAGGGGATTGAGTGAGTTAATGTGCAAATAAAGAGTCCTTGAACTAGTCTTGCAGTCATTTAAAATTGCCCAAGAGTTTTTCCAAAAATGGAAAGCTTCCCTGTGGGAGGGAGTGCAAGTTCCACTATAATGACCTGTGTCAAAAGTTGAGTAAAATTTAACTCACTTCATAGTATTACTATAACAGAAATTAAATTACTTTTTAATTAATATAACACATTTGTCATGTTCTATATTTTGCAGTGATTCAGGAAGATCTTTCACCAAACCTGAAGGAAATATAATTTTTTTAAACAAACTATCTAGTCATCTACGGTGCTCAAGAAAATTTTTTTAAAGCCATAACTCTTGAGTTAAATTGACTGAGATTCAACATGGTAAAAGCAGTTATCAGCATTGCAGTAGGAATAGTCTCAACTCAGAGCATGATACAAAAATTACAGCGAAAAAGGCTTTCCTGAATCACCACACAAATCTAACATGGCCTTAACACTCAGTAATAATGAGCATCCACGATGTATTTCTTGAGGAGAAGATGACAAGAAAACAGGAAAGAAAAGTCGGAATAGAAAAGATACAATCAGAGTACAGAGGGTGCTATAAGAGAGAGGAGGAAGTAACTGTGGTTACTTTGGTCCCTGCCATTGTTTGGCTGGTGCTTGTGATGGGGCTGGGTGTCGTCATGACGATGATTGGCTGGGCCAGGAGAGGGTGGGGCCCCGTCGGGATGAGGTTCTGCAAAACAGCCACAGGTCCCGAGGCACCCAGCTGGACCACGGTCGGCATCAGATGGGTCTGACCGTTGCCCAGCGAGGCCATCATAGAAGAAGGTGTCAGAGGTGCGAAAAAGCGTATGGGAGTCCCGGGGGAGATTATTGATGAGGATGCTGTGGTATGGGGGCCAGATGCTAAAGGTAATGGCAAGATTGTCGGAGCCAGCCCGGCTGTTTTGTGAGTATCTGACAGTGTGATGGAGGCGGTGGGTGTGGCACTGCTAGCAGCAGCAGACAGCTGTTGGTGAGGGGGGAGGAGGGTTGGGGTGAAGCTCATCACCTTCTGCGGATCCGACAAGGAAATCGATGCAGTGGGCGCGACATGACTCGGAGCTGAAGACACGGCCAAAGGTAAAAGGGTCGGGGCCAAGGCCATCGTCTTTTGAGCATCTGCCAGTGAGATAGACACAGGATTAGCGCCTGGGGAGTTGATGACGTTCATCGTGGGCGGCCTCAGCGGTGTGTTGGGAGTTGCAGGAGCTGCTAAAAGAGTGGCAATCCTTGCATTTTTATTGGCCAACGTCAGAGGCGGATTGACTGAAGCGGAACTCGAGTCTGTCTTGACAGCAGCCGGCTGGACCAGCGCAGCCGGCTGGGAACTGATCAACGCCGGCGATGAACTGCTTGAGTGACCTTTGACCCGGGTATCCTGGGGTGGAATTGTGACAGGGGCCGAGGCCAATGAGACACCCATGGGTGAGAGCCCGGAACTGTTGGGTAACGTACGTATCAGGGAAGCAAGAGATGCAGAGATGCCTGGAAGGATTTTTGAGTTGGGGAGAGTTGCTTCCATTAAATGAGCAGCAGAGAGCTGAGTGGGCATTGTGGTTGTGGATGACAGATGGTTCAAGTTGGGTTTACTACTGACAAGGTTCCCATCCCCTGAACCATTATAGCCTGTCGGAATTTTCAATGGACTTGGAATCAACCCTTCCCCTCGCCTTGCCTCAGACGGAAGCTGTGCGGTGCCCATAGTGCCGCTGACCTGAGGTGGCAGGAACGTGAGATTAGATTGGAGCATGGTCGAATTGTTCAAGGTCTTAACAGGCGAGCCCAGGCTTGAAGAGAAGGCTGCGTTTGGATTAGTCAGATTAATCGTTGCAGACAGCGGCAAGCTGGGTATACTGTTTATAACCACAGAAGGCGATGTGTGTGTTGCCATTGCTGCTGCTCCAGCTGAAGACCTTCTGCTCACCACAGCCTTTGCCTCCTCTCCCTTTCGACCCTTGGCAGTGGACGCTTGAGTAGAGGTGTGATCAGAAGCTGAGTTGACAGGTGTAGCTGATAAGGAGTGAGACTGGACTGCACCAGCAAAGGAAAGCAACTCTGAGCTCGCATGATCAGGAAGTCCAGCACTACGTGTGGGGTTCGGTAGAGCTGGCACTGGGTGAGATGATGTCTTAGATTTGGGTGTGGACGCCAAGTGGCCAGATATCATGGGATAGCTGGAGGTAAGCGAACCCCCATGAGATTTGATTGGACTCTTTGACATGCCCGCTGACGACCTTGCACCTTAAAGCAAATAGAACAAAATATTGTATGAGATTTTCATTTGCACATTTACAGGACAGTAGCAATTTGATCTTTTAAAGAAAAACTAATAAACAAACAGTTATACTCCAGCTGTCTAAACCCCACAGTTGTTACAAGTTACACATTCACAATCGACC